GTATGGTAAAAAGCGATGAAATATATTTCAATCACATTATAGCCATTCCGGTAGCCATTACATACGTATTATTTAATATTGTGTTCTCAAATGACCTTTTTCATGCAACCGGTTATTATTATTATCATGTAGTGTTGTAACATGAGTTCATATAATAACGAAAGCCATATTTGCCTAGCGCTTAATACTATGTTTCTTACCATTTTATATGGTAATCATAACATTACCCAAGTCATTGCTTTCACATGCTAATCCGTTCATGACATTATACACGCCCCATTCCCTTGGGAGTATTTCGACCAGGCGCCATTGAACAACCTCCATTTTATAATAATATCATGATTAAAAAACGACGTCACATCATTCAGCAATGCACAGCTACAACGCATTTTGAGTATCCTTCATAACACAAGAGTATGACTATCTTTGTTTTGGTCTGGGCTTAACGATGCCACTTTTATTTAGGATCACTGTTGAATATTACAGGGGTTTGATATTACATCATCATCATGACTAGCACATACATCGTCCAGTGTTTTACATCACGACTGCACGCCGACTTAGACTCAGACTCAGGAAATAAATGTCTATCTCTGTTATTTGGTCTTGAATAAGCGGCATCACATTTATTTAGGATCATTGTTGAATATAAGATGCGGTTTTTGTATCACATCATAATCATGACGGAAACCGTTATACATCACAACATCAAGCAATTCATGACTCGACTGCAGTGGCAATATCCTTAGTAATAATAATAATAATATTCCGCTTTTACATAGTGCATAATAGAATGACTCTCTAAGCGCTTTACAGGTAACACTTGAGTACATGACTTACATCGTTCTGGTCTTGAATGGGCGGCACTACATTCGTTTTGGGTCATGATCATGACTAAAACATACATCAAATCATCCTGCATTTTAAAACTAGACTGTCCTCGCACTGAGTATTCCCAGTAACACATGAATATTGGAAAAGAAGGGCTTACCTCGCTTTGGTCTCGAATAAGCCGCGGCGCCACATTCCTTAGGATCGCTGGTGTACCTGACAGGCCATGGGTCGGTATCATGCTTGCATGCGTGTACTCTCATCGCACATAAACTCTTATAAAATTCTTTATCAGAACCACAAACTCCGCCTGATTTTCGTCGTACTTTGTCATTGCAAACACCTTGATGAGAACAATCTGTAATGAAACATGAAAATCATTTTATTTGTTAATTGTTTGATTCGGTAGATTTGATTTAACTGATAATCATTCTGGTTAGATGAATATGGCTGTATACGAAAGAAAAGAATTTTAGTTCAATTAGTTTATTGAATGTGGCTTGATTTCACTCAAAAAGATTTTAAGAATCTAGAATGAAACATGAAAAAAATGTTTTCATTTAAATGATTTGATTAGATTTAATTTGATTCACAAACGAACTAATACAATCTATAATGGAACACGAAAGGAGATACTTTATTGTTGGTTAGTTAATTTTATTTATTTTATTTCATTTGATTCACAAAAGCCTAAGTCTTGAGAATTACGGAGAGAAAGACACCACTTATTCAGTAAAGAGAACAATTTGAGTGTTAACAAAAGAATGAGCTGGCTTATATTTCCTTTTCAAACATAGTTATGTATTGATAATTGAGCCTATGTGTATTTGAAATCCAATGGAAAATTTAAGGCAAATGCCATGTTTCAATAGATTTTTTTTTTTTTTTTTTTTTTTTTGGGGGGGGGGGAATTCAAAACCTAAAATACCATCTGTTTTTCTTATCACGCATATGATATAGTATAAAAAGTACGAAATCTGAAAACGTGCTGTTATTAGGGACTTTTAGATTTGCGTGGACTGATACGTGTGACGTCCATTCAAGGCAGTGCATTAAAAGGACGTCGATCGTAGCAATCCCCATTGTCTTCGTGCGAATCTAAAAGTCCCTAATGACGAGAGGCGACCGTCCCTCCCTCTTTTATAGTTTATTTATTTATTTATTTATGTCTGATATTTAGACAGGGTGACTCATTATCACCAATAATGGTTGTCTTCCATGAGGGCCTGTTAAACTTAAGGAGGTACATTATAGTTTAACAAATATATACTGAGTTCAGTTGGTTTGAATTCAGGTAAACGGGTAGGGAAATTCTTTTTTTTCCCGCCTCGTTGGGGTTCAAGTATTTTGTTGGCAGCCTGAATTAAAGTTAAAAACTAAATTATTCATATCCTCTCCAAGTTTTGCAATTTTGTTAGTACGTGAAAAATATATTTGTCCCGATTTATGTTTCTTGAGATTGTGACATATTGCAGCTTACATCTAAAAGTATTCAACAAAGGCTCTAGAAACCCCTAATTCAACCTAGGTCCACCTCTGATTCATAAGTTACAAAAAACATCAAATTTACAAGGGGTATGAATGATTTATGTGTTAATTGTATGTTGTGAACTTACCAAAGACAAACAAACAAACAAATTTTCTTCTTTTTTCTGTATAGACATATAATTACTCTAGAAATAACACTGATATCACATACTGCAATAGCAATCGGATTGAAGGATGCGAACGGTCATAATCATCATCATTACTAGTATTATTGTAAGTAGGCAATAATTGAATTAGATTAATAATGATTTGAAAATAAATTTCACACATACCCTGTGAACATACCATTATATTTTGCTGTGAAAAACCCGCTATCAATACAGTTACAATCATTGCGGTCGTTATAATAGTTTTTTAAACACTGTGCAAAATCTAAAAGCATTATTCAAAGCCCCAAAACATAATTCTAGTCACAAATATATTATGCAGTGATCACAATCCATTAAAATTGAAATGAACTTCCTCGAAAGTCTTAATTGTTCTTTCAACTTATTAGTGTTTGACAAGATAGCGTCACAAATCATTCTCACAAACTTTTTGTTTTTCTAAATTACTAATTAATTTGATTTTCTCACCTTTGTCTAGATTAGGAACCTCGTATGTTACCACGAGGACAAAACAGGCAAGGAAAGCCAGGTGAAATATCAAACGGCAATCCATCTTGGATGTTGGCTCTACGAAGTATAAAGGCGATTTCGATAAGTAACACTTCAATCCATTATGTTCTGATGAATATGGAACTTTAAAAAAGACCCCCTCCCTCCCTCCTCCTCCTCCCCCCTCCCCCCCCCCCCCCCCCCTCTCTCCCTCTCTCTCTCTCTCTCTATCCCTCTTCTTCTCAGTTCTCTACCTCTCTTACTCTGTCTGTCACCATTTTTTGTTTATTGTGTTGGATAATCTTGTCCACACGTATTCACATTTTCTCTTTTCCCCCTTTCTTTTACTCATCTCTAATGTACAATTTGCATATTAACCCCAACCCCATGCTACCTCACGTAAAAGATGCATTAACTCTCTCTCTCTCTCTCTCTTCTCTCTCTTCAATTCTTTCATTCCTTTCATTCTCATTCTCACAACTATACTAACGCATAATATTTGACCTTTAATTTTACCAGTAACCTTTCCCTTTGCATAACGAAAACAAAAAATAGATATAAAAACAAAAACAACCATCGTTTTCTCTTTCCAGTCATGTGGAGTCTCTTTATGTCGTTGTCTGTTTTATCAGCATGTATCAGCAACGTGACAGCACGATCCCAATGCCAAGGATGTTTGAGTCAGCTCTTTCGAGCAACATATTTAACCAAATGTCTTATTTCTTGACAATTTCTTGACATATACCGAGAAGTCAAACTCGTTGTTCATCGAAATATCAAAGTCATTTTCAGGGGCAGTTTGTAATAAGACTCGCATATTTTGGTGCCATTTTGTAGAAGATAAGATTCAAAATAATTCTAGTAATTATAAATGTCACTGATCCACCATCGAATTGGACCGGTTAGAACATAGAAAATTTGAGAATTTGGAATGTATTATGTATGTCGAAAGCCTAACTGCCTTGACAAGTAAGGCAAAGGGGGAAATGAAGACAACAAAATATTTGTATACTGACTAAATGATACGTAGAGAATACGTATTCTCGTGGAACCACATCTCCCCTTGCTGCTGGAGATGACACGATAACCGAGCAAGACAGTAATGAAAACATGTACGCCTAGTGGAATACCCCCCCCCCCCTGATCCCGCTCTCTCTCTCTCTCTCTCTCTCTCTCTCTCTCTCCCCCCCTCTCTCTCTCTGCATGTTTCCCCTTTAGCTAACATCGATGCGACGTTTATATTCAAATTGTTTGAAACATAAAATATTGTATAACTATGAATTGTATACGTCCTAAACGTCTTTGGATGTAACATAATCTACTTGCAGACACCGAGATCGACTATTCACTTGCTACGTGCAAATAAAGATATTCTGTTCCTGCAGCAGACGCATCCCTCTTAAATTGTTAAATTCCTATTATTTTGTATAGTTCCCGGATGTTCATTTTAAATAATTCCAGGAACAAGCTTTTTTAGGCTATTGGTATTAGCTTCCCCACTCTCGGTGAATTTAAAACTGAATATGTTCAAAACTAATTCTCAAAAAGTTAAATGATTTATTGTATCGGAGAAGAAGTTAGAAAGTTCTGGTGGTTTGGCATGCACAAGTATAGTTCCTACCTTTATAATAGTGCTTTAAAACTTGTCAATACCCTTAAACTAGATAGGGTAACAATATCAGATGACTCATATAATTTGTATACAGCGGACGATTTTTCTTTCGTATCTACGTCCTTGAATGCCAAATTAAATTATTTTCTCAACAGGGACCTATAAAACATATATATGTATTTGCAGTTGATGCCCTCCATCAAATACCAATTATCTGTTTTTTCTCTCATCTCTTCTTTCTCCTTCTGCAACTCTTTTAACTTTATTCCTCCCCTCCCCCCCCCCCCCCCCTCTCAACTCTTTCTCTCCTTTTTTTCTCGTCCTGTCCCTTCTCCCTTTTATTCTCTCTCTTTCTCTCATTCTCACCGATTGACAAATACAAAGAGCAATGATATCCAAACGGCTTTACCAAGTTCATTACTATTTCTCTGAAAGGTTTGATACTTTATTGGCAAATACGTTTGCTGACAAAAACAAAAAAAAGTACATATACAATAACAACACACTCCACTACACCACATGCATTTTTACCATGAAAAAAAAAATCACATGGGGGGGAATAAAGAGATGACAGAAACCAGGCCCACAAAACTTAATTCAAAGATTATTTACAAGACAATAACTGAGTGCCATCGAAACGATATGGAGTGAAGTGCAGATTTTACTTAGGATCACTATAGGAACAACCAGTAGTACCTTCTTTTTTTAAATTTCCAAATGTTTACAAAATACCTCTACTGAAAAAGTGGGAGTAAAATATATGACTTTATTAAAAACACAATTCTAGAAATAATAGGTTTGTGGATTGGACACATTACTAGAGAGAACACTATGAACACATATACACACAACAGAGGGACCTACAAATATTTCAAACAATTTCAAAATAGACTATGGAAAATTTCTTATTTGCATACCTAGTAGTCATATACAAGAAAGGTAACCGGGGGAGAGGGTTAAAGAATGTGGTAAAAATATTATAAAGCTGCTGTAATTATATTCACAATTTACAGGCAAAACTTTTTTTCTTTTTTTTCTCTCGATATATTAAACATTTTTCTCTCTCTTTCTCATACTTCAAATATATATATACTTGTATTGTCAAAAGGAAAATATCAAGTCAACACACATCATTTCTACAACCTCTGAAATTACATCGTGATAAAATATAATTTTGTTAAAGATGGAAACACTTGGTTACCTTTGAGAATACAATACACTTGTATGATGCAGAGCAAACATACTAAATGACATTTGAAAATATGCAGACTCTCCTAATGTTTCCAACGCAAATCTCGCGGAAACGCATAAAGAAATTAGCTACTCTTTTCCCCCTTAATATACAATACGTCATGATTTGGAACAGTTCAGTATATATATATATATCAACTTTGTACTTGATCAGAAAGTGATCATGATTTCAGATGATTACACAAAGTTACATAGATTTTAATCACATATTTCAAAATCTCCAGTATCGTCTAATTCACTTGTGTCAATCCCATAATTCAACTTGTATTGGTCAAGTTAGTTGTTTTTACCTAATAAAAAGATTGCCCTAACAATAACTCCTTTCTAATCACACGTGTCACATAATCGTTAAATGCTAAACTAGTTCACAATTTGTTTAAGCATATTGCAAATAAAGTAAAAGAATAACAAAATTAGTGTATATGAACACTAATGCTCTCTACATCTTAGTTACTATACACACCAGCAAACCTTTACATTGACCAAAATAATTTGTGATAAATATTTCTTTGCAATTCTCTCTATTCTTTCTTTTTAGTTATTTACTTCTCCTTTTTTTTTCTTCCTTCAAATTGCAGCACAATTCTTCTTTACTTCCCAGTGATCATAAAATCTTAATATACAACACAGCCTGATAATCAGAATCCACAGTATTTCTATAAAATGTTATGTTGGCAAACACAAATTATGTTTCTCTTAATTACCCATAAAGCACCATACTATTCATCAGAGTCCAATATTACTGCAAATAAAGACAACAAAAACATATGCCACTGCTGTCCTTCTCAACTCTTCCCATTATTTGTCTAATACACAACAGAGAGATAGAGAGAAGATAATAGAAAACAAAATAATACTGGCATAGCAAAAGATTTCATGAATATATACACACAAAACACTACACAAGAAGAAGGGCCTACAAAGTCATTTCTTTTCATTGTATGAACATGATAATTTTCAATTAAAAAATGTTACACAATGATGAGGTACCTAATATAAAATTTATTAATAAGAGGAAGGAAAAAAGACCATTTCAGGCTGTGCATAAGTAGCAAATACACACAGATTATAACAAACTATACAAATTTGTTGACCACTGTATCTATGTACAATTCATCTTAGTAACTCTGCCATGCACAAGAAAACAAGAGAATGATAATATTTACAGATTTTTAAATTATTTACAAACATATGCAATACAGAAGTTCATGGTATTATACAATAGATATTTCATTATGGTCTCTCTCCAAATTATATTCAAAATAGTTTCATTTAAAACTACAAAAAAGGAAATAGTAATGTTCACACATGCAACATACTACAAGAGTTTTTACATATTTACATTGAAGAAAATAAGACATTTTGTACAGTATACACAACATAGGAATGAATGACTCTCATTTAATCTTGAAACAGTTTTGCAATTTTCTCTCCTCTGTCTCCTGATTTACAAAACTTCAAATACTTCATTTCATATACGACAAAGTGTTTTGAAAACCACCAATTAAAACCAAGATTAGGGCAATAGAATGTCAAATTCAAATATACCACAAACAAGAATGCAAGCAAATAACTATTCAATTCAAATGGCTGTATTATACTAGTATTTAATCCCAAACTGGTAAATGATAAAAAATAAATTCAGAATATTTCATGTAATAATATTGTTGCGTATAAAAACGCAGCAGAAATCTTGATTGATGCATATTAGTAAGCAACTATATAAACACCCTTCTATGAATGAACTCAAGCACTGCAAACTGCGGCCTATGACATATTTATATAGGTTTTCAAATGTCAGTCAAGTCATTAGATATAATTCATTTGTCACATCAAGCAATATACATTTGTCATAGTATGCATGGAAGCATCTCATTGATTTTAGGTATGGGACACCCGGTTGATTTAGGGGAGGATATTTGAACATGATTACATTGTTTCTCCAAAGGCATTAGGTTAGTGTATCTACGTCCCAAAACTTATCGCAAAATGAGAGAATGTATTTTTATTATTAGTGAGCCAACAATGTACCTATTATTTCTCCATAAAACATAATCCAATGGTGTATGAATCCAACTGATGGCATGCCCCTTTTGGCCCTCATTTTGTGGAGAACACAATTTGTGTATGTTATTAAACCTACCGGTATATATTCTACAATCACTATCCTGATGCAATCATCAAATACTGTTTGTCAAGCCCCAAGAAGTGTGACACAGTTACAACTTTTAAAGAAAATGTCTCATACTTGAATATTTAAAATTGTGTGATATCCTTCATAATTTAATTTCACAGTGGTTAAGCATTTAGATTACTATTTTGGATTTGTTTGCTGCATTATTCATTGTCATTTTCAGTCTTTAATTTGAGCATTTCCAAAATCGAAATAAGAATCAGTTGAGTATCGAAACTGTTCTGTACGAGAGAACCTTTGATCACATATTCATGATCAAATTCACTGCTTTAGTTCAGATTTAATTACCATGATCATTTCTAGTGATTTCAAAAATAAATCGAATATGCTTGGAAGTCATTTACAGTTATTGAGTTGCATGATTATTGTCTTAACATCTTCAGGCGAAATAGAGCAATTGTGGTACTACTTTAGATGCTATTTCATGTAATATTATATGCCCATGATTCATGTTTGAAGTCTTGATTACTTTGAGGTTGTAACTTATTTAACCGTTTGTCACACCATGATGAATTTTTGCTTAAATATGCATGTCCAACTGATGAGGTATCATACAGATATCAAGCACCTCATGTGACTTTACTTAGCATTACTGTTTAACTGAATGGATACAATGTTTCTTGCTCTCACATCGTATCTTATCTTGTGTCAGGATCTGAGTGACTCCTCGATGCTCAGCTGGGCTCAAAGCTGGGACTCCTCTCAGTTTTTTCAGCAGAGCATCAGTAGATGGGTGTGTCCTTGGTGTGTGTTCTATGGTGTGTCAGTTCAATTCATCCATTTGCGGCAGTTGGGTGCCTTACAGAGACAGGGGATCTTGTTCTGGTCATTCTCAATCTCAAACTTGTAGTCATAGGTAAGCTGAAAAGTGAGAACAGTAAAGCTTTTAGCATATTTCTCACTCTGTACATGGATCAAATCCTATAACAACTGAAAACAAAAGGATGTAACCTACAGGCTCCCATCTATGACAAGTGTCATTTTCAATGATATTGCAGGGTGACATGGAAACACTTACCGGGTATTAAAAGTTCCTTTCAAAGACCACCAGAATCAGTCATTCAGTAATGTGATCACACCCTAACATGACCTACAAATCTTCTCACTCTGAGATTTTTTAAGAATGTCAAAAGGTCAATAAATCTTACATGCACATTTTCAGCAGGATCAACAGCTTTTTTAAGGATAATCCTTTGACTTCTATGAATATTTGAAAATTCTGCCTAGATATAAGTAGCAGCATAAACCAATTTGTTTTTCTTCCAAACATGAAGGAAGGGATTATATTGATGTTAGTCTAATGTTTGCCAGATTCTTTGATAGACCTACCTCTTCACCCTTCAGCAGTCTCCTGCTAGAGATGATGATGATCTTCTTCTGGTCTTTGTCAAAGTTCACCACCTCTGCCACACAGTTGGGGTTGCAGGAGTGGTTGATGTAGCGGGCAGGGTTGCCACTCCTTGTGGCGTCCACTACGGTGTAGTCATCAATGCGGAACATGTAGACGCCGCGGTTCGCAGCTTCGTAGTCGCGTTCCCACTTGTTGGCGACCTCATTGCGGATGAGGGTGCCGATGTACTCAATGACCATGGTGTGCTTCTCGATGTCATGAGCAGCATACAACCCCAAGCCCTGTTCAAAGAGGGAGAGATGGACAAATGGGGTTAATTGTGCTGCAGATGGTCTGATACTTAAATATCTTGATAATAACATTGATTCAGCGAGTACAAAGCATCATGAAATACCTCATAAAGCCCCTTGTTTACACCGACAGTGGAAAGTCCACATATTTTACATGGTTCTACCCTATATCCCCCCCCCCCCAAAAAAAAAAAAAAAAATCAAACACACAAACAATATATGCACTCACTGAAAAGATATGCTCTTACTTAAAAGATTTTTCTTTTCAAAATGAAAGATGCCATAAAAACCTACCGTACATACCTTCAAAATGTCCTCATTAATTTACATATAAGAACAAAAATATCAGTAAGATGTTATGGGACTGTATTTGCATGTGATACACCGATGAATATTTCCATTAGTATTTTCTTCTCACCTGGATCTGTGACCTTGCGAGGTAGACATTGGTCTTCCACTCAGTCTTCAACCTCTTGTACTGTGATGACTTGGAGTGTACAAACTGCTTGTTGTAAGGAGATGCTACCTCACCGGCTAGGGTGGTGTGGAAGCCTCGGGATGTCTTGTTGCTTGTCAATGTATGCGGTCTATGGGCAATTAGACAGTGATAGAGAGGAGATGGATATATGATCAAGATGTATGTAACATATGCAGCTATGGCGCACAGAATTGTAGTATGTGTTTTTGCTATCTAAGAATAGGCTCTAGGTAATACATCAACCCATTCCCTCTTAGAGTCTTACAACCTCTGTGTTTTTTTTTCCTGTTTTTTTCCTTTCTTTGTTTATTCTCTTGTATGTACATGTTGTTTTGCTTTATTCTTTTTTTATTTATATTTTTTTAATTCTATTTTTTCCATTTTCTTGAATACCTAATCATCACTTTCTATAACATGCTTATGTCATAAACTCCATCGAAGTGAAAATTCTAACATTGCTAAGGATCATACAAGACAGAACACTGCTCTAAAACCTGTTGTAAATCCGACAAAAATCTTTAACTTTTAACATGAGTTCCTTTGATATTTCTCCTCCCATTCAGACCGAGTTGTGGTTAATTTCTTTCTATGATCATTTCAGGACAGAATACCACTCTACCACAAATAACCCCATGCTTGTTGTCTAACTAACTAAACTTGAGAATGAGTGTTTACCTCTTGAGATGGGTCTGTCTCCTTGGTTCTGCCCTGGCACACCCAGTAGGATTGACAGCCAGGGGTAGATCAATCAGAGGTGAACGGCCAAACCGGAAGGTGTAGTGCTGAATCAGGTCTACTCCAGGCAGCTGAATAAGCAAATATAATGCAAAGAAATTAAGAATGCTTCTAGAAACATGATTGCCCTTCTACTTTATAAAGCACTGCTCATGTACAAGTCAAAGTTTCTAATCTCTTATGAAAAACTAGACATTTGTGGCAGTCACTGGTTTACAAAATATAGAATATGATGGGAAATAAACTATTAATATCAATAAATGCAGAAGAAGATATCAAAGTGCGATGTCACTAGGTCGTCTGCCAGTTCTCTATATACCTTTATAACACAGCATGGATAAGTTTCTACAGTAGAAAAGCCACTATTTATACCAATGATAATTAGTTCCGAAGATCAAAGAGGAATATCATTACGTTGTTACCCATTATCGTAAATTGGATCAGTCTGCTATGAGAACATCAAGAAGATTCCATTGTCATGAAGCTTTTTGTCCATACAATACAAATTCATGACTTAAAGCCCGTCTGCACTAGTTTGGCCACCGGGAATTAGACCCCCCCGCAAGGTCACTGACAGGTGGCTATCTCATCAACTCAGCTCTCAATTAACATAAGAAAAAGAGGATCAGGGGGGACCGACAGGCACCGATTAGGCATTGTTTGCTATACAGAGGTTGCAAGTAGCTATAAGTAGTTCAGTGGGGCTTTAAATGTGGTACCCACCGATTCAGTAATCCTCTGGATAGCTGCCTCGGTCAAGCCAAAGAGGTCTTCACCAGTCAAGAAGGTTGGGAAGACTTTGAGCATGTCTGCATCTCGTCTCAGTTTAGCAATGGGCTCAAGGACCTTGTACCATACATCTAGTTATGATGAGAAGTGTGGAATAATCAGCAAACATGTATAATAGCAACACAATTTGGTACATCTACATATAACTTAGTTTGCAAGCAAAACAAGAAAATTTACAGGTTAGATTGCTATATAACATTCCACAAATGTCTGTTGATTTCATGATATAACACCACAAATACTTAAGTGAAATGGTGAATTTTGAGAGCACAGATATCCAAGACTAGGTCTTTGAGTGAAATATTTCCTTACACTAACATAACTCATTCTCTACAACACTGTATCCCAACCTTACTAAATTGAAAACATCATCATACCTTCATCTTATCCTAGTGTCAATTCTTACGCTTGGATTGATCAAATATATATTTAGCAAAGTCTCAAAGTCAACAAAGGATGTATAATTCGTTAAATGCCTTCAGAGAGTTAATTATGCAATAATACCAGTTACTGTCCTTCCAGCACTTAGCAGGTGATATGATTAGCTGACTTGATCACATATATATTTTGCAAAGTCTCAAAAGCAACAAAGGATGTATAATTCGTTGAGAGCCTACAGAGAATTAATTATGAAATTAAACGAGTTACTGTCCTTCCAGCACTTAACAGGTGATATGATTGGCCGACTACCAGTAAGACCACATGGGTAGACCATCTGCCTTACACGACCATGATCTACTTGGCCGAGAGCCAGTGAGTGGTTACTTACTCCTTGGAGTGTCGGCCCTGAAGATGATGTCTTCATGCCCCTGTTCCATGATGCGGATGCTGAACTCAGGCCTCCCACCCTGGTCCTGGATGGTGCAGGAGTAACTGCATCGCTTGTTGGTGTAGCGCATGCTCCAGTACAGGCGGATGGATTCGTAACCAACCTGCATAGATCACAATTTTGTGTAAATGTTACGATTACGAGATAAATGTAGATATGAAAAGTTTGCACAGTAGTAAGTGCATAGTTGTCATTCACTCTCCAGTTCAAACAGACAGATATATATCCAACCTGCACAATCACAGATCATTTTAACATTTGATTATTACAATAATATTATACAGATGGGAATAACTGGTACAGAAGCAAGTGCATTGTTGATGATTTAATGCAGGCTCGGGTATCAAGGGATGGATTTATGGACCACCAGCACAATTACATAATTTTTACCATGTTCTAATTTTAATCAAAAGTCAAAGGGAAATGATAAAATTGAGTTTTTTATATCACATAGATTATATGAATGAAAGAAATCCTTTTAAATGGCATATCTGCACATCCAAAAGAGTTAAATGTTGAAAGAATTAACCCATAAGAACAATTTTAAAAAGTTATTTTGGAGGAAACCAAAGGAATGTATCAATGTTGATAAAACAAAAATAAATCAAACGATTAAAGACATTTCTTTTGAAATCAAAAGATCTATGAAAGAATGGGTTTGATTTCTAGGGGTTAACAATCCAGGGTTTGGGGTTACTTACAGGATAGATGGAAGTGAGTGAATGGAACAGGTGCATCTGATGAGGTAGAAGCTGCCCTAGTGACTTGAAGATCAGACTACCCACACGCACTGTGTACTTGCGGTCTGCCATCGTCATGATGCTGCACAACAGGAAGTAAAACAGGTTGAATTTCATTTCAAGTATACAATTTTCCTTCATTTCTTATGAATAGTATTCAATGGAATAAGATGCAATATACGCAGACATAATCATGAGGTTTCTGGTCGTTCATTCAAATGCAGTACAAAGTAATCACTCTATGAGTATTTGATGGATGTTTTAGGAAATATTAAATCTATGTGCTTTCAGTGACTCAACAATACATTCGTTGCGTCTTTACAGTTAGTGTGGAAAAAATAAAGTACAAGACTGCTTTTAAGCCTAACTGGACTTGGGATTTTGCACCCAATCTCATGACAGAAATTCTCTCTATTTTACAATGTCCCACGCAATCCCTGTAATTTTTCTCCTCCTTTTTTCCAGATAATTAGGACTCCTTGTCTCTTTTGGCCCAGAAGGGCATTAACTCACACAGAGTTAACACCCTTCTGGCTCTGAACAGACGTTCTCATTTCTGATTATTTGAGAATTACAGCAGGAAGGAAAAAAGTGGAAACTGTTCACACAGCAATGTCATACAGCCATTGTACACAAAAATCCAATATTCAATGTCCTTTTCTAAAAGTATGAAATAACAGAACTTGAAACTAGAAAATATCCATGATCTGTGACTGAGTCTTACTTTGCAACTTGTTTATGTTCATCTCTGCTAATGTAGACTCTTCTGAAGACCACATGAGACTGCAAGGTGCTCTCCGTAGGTTTGGATGGGGCATGAAGTGGGCACATCATTGTCTGTAGAAAAAGGTCAAATTTCATCTCGTTATAAATCCTACTTACAAGTGAGAATCATTGATATGCATCTGCAATTGACATGCCAATCCATTACATGTATTACATGCAAACATGCTGCCTTGGCACGTAAAGACAATTAAAACCGGCACGAACGATAAATATCACCCATCCACCTCAAGATCTTGCATCTTGGTTAAATATGATACATCTGGTGAAATGTGGGAAGAAAAATATCTCTAACAATTGTATATTACAATTCTGATAGTAACTCATGCACTGCTATGTCAGTAACTTTCTTGGCTAATGAAATGAAAACAAAAAAATGTTGCCATCATAAATTTGGCCACAAATGAAAGTAGAAATACATCTGATATACACAGGAGAATCTGGTCATCTTTCAAGCTTGCATTCACTGTGGTTACCAACACCGATTAGAAGGTAACATTCTGATACACGCATAGAGCAAACAATGGGAATTTGGACTATGCCACCCAGCCACCACACAGCAATACCTACCTTATCCTTGAAGAACATACAGTGGTCCTGCATGGCGCAGGAGAAGTGGTAGACATTGCAGCAACGTTGTTTATTGCAGGAGATGGTGGCACCGAGCTTGCTGCAGTAGCAGCAGGTACAGGTGCGCCCTCGCTTGAGAGCAGACTCCACGTTCATGAGGGAGCCATTGAGGGTCTCATACACCTCATCAGACCACAGAGCACAGTTCAGATGAACCCACGTGTCTACGTTCAGGTTCAGCAACCTATCAACGAAACAAAAGGGTAAACAATAGGTTTGAAGGGTATGTAGGAAACTAAAAAGGACTGCATTACACATGAAATATTGAAAATGTACATTATCCCTTGAGAGCAAGAAGGATATTAACTCTAGTGTTTAAGTGTAAGAATCAACCCTCATTTGGCTGCCAGCAGACAACGTGTAACTTAGACAAATAGAAATACTCTCTATTGAGGGCCAGAAGGGCACAACCCTGTGTTCGATGATACAAGGTAATGCCCTTCTTTTAGCAGGAAATTCATGAATGCCTTTCATAAATCTTGTGGATGGATATAAGTAGAAAATATTCATCTGAACAGTGGAGCTGTGCTGCTTTAGATCACATCAGTATGGTTGTACTATTACGAGTAATATATTGCAGTACACACAATTCTTGGTCAATTGAAGAATAGACGACTTTAACTAAAGTTGGAAAAAAAATTACTTTTATTTCTCCATTAGATTTTAAAGACATCATAGTAACTAGCTTTTCTAACTATCAACAATCTTAGGGAATCTTTATTTGCAGTGAACAGGGATGAAATAGATTTTTATTCTGCATTACACTCACCTTGCCGAGCCATTTGTGTCTCCGTCTCCGAATCCGTTACAGAGCACACAGCACCTGGCATCACGCAGAGTTTCACTTGTTCTCATTGATGTTCCCAACTTCTTGATCAACTGAAAAAAAGAGAAAGACATAATGTGATTAACTCCTTGCACTTTCCTGATGCAGTTGAGAGGGACCAAATTTCTTCAATAAAAATAAAATCATTGAAGCATTTGTTTAAATGCATATCAAAAGAACATAGTGAAAGAATTTTATTTTATGGCAACAATGTATGTTTTATCTCAGAAGTGATAATTCCTCTCGTTTTTGTACATCAAAGGCTATAAATCAATGTGACACCCTGTGATATGTACACCTGGATCCCCATTCCAAAAAGAATTTCAATTACACATTTACACAGTGAATAAAGGCCTTCTGTCTGTGCCTATTGTTCTTTTTCCTGCTATAGCAATAACAGCACTAATCATAAAAAGGAATGTGATGTCTGAAACATTCCACTGATGCCAAAGCAAGAGAATGACATGACTGAGATTGAAAATTCAATTCAATTCAATTCATTTCATTCCATTCGTCATATAAAAACATACATAATTATAACATTGATATTTACAGATAAATAAAGAACATACAAATAACATAATGAAAGATAAACATAAAATACAAATATATATATATATACGAATGAGAAAACCGGCAAGAAAGAACAATAAAGTCTTATGTGGTGCTGGTCCCTTGCGACATAATGAAATTGAAGAAGAGAAAATGCTTCTTACCTGGCCGATATCCTGATCACTAGGTGGTCTGTATTTCTTGCCACCAGAGAATGAACCATGCCAGCGGCGCCATTTGATGTTCTTCCATTTCTTCACCAAAGGCTATACAAAGTAAAATAAATAAATAATAAACCCACATTACTCATATAACATAAACAGTACTAAGCATTTTGAGGGAAATGTTTGATGTATACTACCTGACAAACTACTAAGAGCAATCTATAGTTTGTAGAACTCTTTTGAATATCAGTACTATGGGAAACTTCTTTCTGTAAAATAGGGTACTAAATCCAGATCTGTTTATTTCAAAATACAAAATAAATCCAATGTACTTTTAGGGAGTAAATGCTTGCCTTATAATCAAACCATCTATTAACAATCACTGCTCTGATTTACTAGATATTTCTCATATAGAACACTTCATCAACAACATAAGGTGTTTGACACGAAAAATATTTCATAAAGAATGGAAACTTCATAAAATGTAAACAAATCGAAACAATTAAATGTTTACCAATTCATCTCCAAGTGCAGGTCTTCTCCTTGTTCCAGTCTTCAGTGTCAGTCTCAATTCCTCCCTGCCACTTTCACCTGTCTTTGACTCACTGATGATGACCTTCATCTCATCTGCATCAGTCACCATCTTCTCTTCCTTGGCTGGTGAGACCTCTTGATTAGATGATGGAGTAGCGGTGGTTCCCTCTGCAGAGGTGTGTGCTGGCTGTGCAGCCATGGGCGAGGAGACAACAGGCTGAGCAGGTAGGGAGCGAGGAGAGATGGGCGTTGACTTGGACTGAGGTGGTGTCTTTGGCACGGTGCAGGGTGATGTTGGCAGGGAGGTGCTGGCTTTGGGTGACAGGACATCCAGCTGAACAGACTGAGGATCAGAGCTCCTGTGATTGACCACTCGTCCTGCATTGACTTCGGTGCGTGCCACCTGTGACCGTAACGAGATGGTGTGCTGGAGGTAGCATGCACCACTGCAGAAGACCACGTTCTTGTCAGTGGGTGTTGCAGATTTACGGACACCCTCTCCTACAACAAGGACATCGCAGTGTCTGCAGAAGTGCAGTTTAGGGTCGTCTAATGACCCAGCCAGCACAGATGACTTAGAGGTAATCTTGGTAGGCTTGACTGAAGTTGTAAGTGAAGTAGGTGACGCTGAAATTTTCTCTGGGGATATTTTCAATGCCACATCTAAGGAAAAACAAATCATAGAAAAAAAATCAGACAAGTTTGGTAAACATCAACTATTAAGAAAAGCATTGCAAACCAACTAAATGAGTCAAGGTCAAAGATATTCTATTGTGCACAAGTCCTCCAAGGATAGTTTGGTCAAATACTAAATTACTGACATAATACTATACAGTTCCACACCTACTTGCTCGTCTATTTTGAAAAAAGTAACAGATAAGTAAAAAGCAAGACTATATGGCAATTACTTCAGGTGTACATACCAAATCCAAATTAACATTCCTAGTATGTATATCTTAATCATACCTGCAACAGGGCTTGTGCTCTGGGCCCACTTCCCTCTCCGTTCTTTCTGCCCAGCTTCGTCGATGACTTCAAAGTTTGATGGTTCTTTGATCCCTAGGAGCTTGGAGAATGCAGAGAGAACCCCCTCCACGTTGTGCATTACTTCCGGCATCAGCTTCAAGGTCACCTGGACAGTGTTGGCATTTCCCAAAGACCCCGCTTCAGCTACAGGTTTCAGAACAAATTGGAAAAACTTGTACAAGGATGTATGGATATTGCTTCAAATCTATACATTTAAATATGTCACTCAGAGATAACCAGAGTGTACATTATTCAAAAGTTTCCCTACATTTCATGTCATAATAATGGCGATGTCAAGTGATGTTAGCTGATTTGGAAACAAACAGAAGATTGTGTTCCCATTATAATTAAAAATAAAATTGAACACACCAGACAAGTAGGTATCAAAGCATGCTTACTTTTGTTAATCTTCAGAAATGAGTCAATATTAACCTTCTCTTTTCTGCACTAGAGAACGTATTTCTTACTCTGAAAACTAATAAAATCCCAAATGCTTTCCAAATATAAAGACACGAAAGCAACACCCTATAAAATCAAAAGTAGTTTGATGAAATTTTAGAATGATGAAGTGTGACCCTACCCTTCCTTGGAGTTGGTTTTATGATTGGAATGGTGGGTGATCCTGACCGCTTCTGAGCTGCCAAGACCTGATCCACATCCTGGGTGAACAGACGTAGTCCTTTCATCTTGCTTGGCTCCTGGGCCTCATTCTCTTCGCATTCAGGTGATGAGGAGATCACTATATCGGCTACTACTGAGAGAAGCAAGTTGGCATGTCAATCTCAATCCCAACATCCATCCCAGGTCAAATTAAAAACATGATTTATCATTTAAACAACTCATCTGATGCCAGTACTTACATAACTAGGCATGATAAGCAAAATCACAAACTGCTATGGTGCACAGTACTTCATCTTTATATTTTGAGGGGAGACTAGCGAACTGTTATGAAATTCAGACATCAGCATAATGCCCTTTTGCTTTGTGATACTAGTGCTTGTTTGCTTTCACACTGTGAGGTTTTATTCAGAAGCAAATTCAGAAGAACGAGTAGGAAGTTGAAATTTGTTGAAAATAACCCTCACACCTTGGCTATTTTATAACTAGTGCAACATCAGCAATCATATTGAGGCAATAAAATCAATGTAATAAAAAGCATATTTTATGTACTCTGTGCGCTTCATGCCTTTTTTTTCTTTTTCAATTTGTTGAATCGACTTGACACCACACTTTAAGGCAAGCTGAAATGCTTTTCTAGTGTTTTAAAATAATTTTTCATAAACCCTTTTCCACATTACCAGTAACTTTTTTCTGCTTTCAATAACTTTCAAGAGAACTAAAATGTAGAGTCTTATGACAATAATAAGTATGCTGTATTGAAAACAAAAGCATGCCACACAATCTAGAACAACAAATACTAAATTATGAACAAAATAAACTACCAATAAATGGCTATAACTGCTACTTGATATACCGGAAAAATAAAATATGCCTGTTACATCTTTAAATAAAAGCTATGTAGCATCATGCCAAGAGCATCACATATTTCTATTATTTCTAATCAACACTGGGAGGCAAAACTGTTGTTTTCCAATCAACAAATTTTCCAGGTTTCTATACATTCTCCACAAATCAATAATTTCCAAGGCTACACTTGTAAATTTTGAGACAGACAGATTCTCAGTCAGCCATATTTTTTCTTCAGACCATGATGCAATGCTATTCAAAATCTACTTCCTATTTCCGGTAACTAACTAAGTACACTCTTATAATATGCACCTCAGAGCTTTTACAAATAAAGAACTTCTACAAATAATGTACTTTGTACTGATTTTTTACAAAATTTACATATGATTTTTTTTTAAATCTTGTTGAGGGAATCATTATGCTGTGTGCTCATGTCATCTAGCTGGTGTTTTCATAATTTTGTGCTTGTGTTAATTACACTAAAGAGTATATTGTACAATATAGCATGGCTGGATATATATATTGGCATGCAAATGAATAATCTGATGGAGGTTATGATTAAATACAAGATGAGAAGTTCTGTTGTGATATGGGAATAATCAAATATTTGAATATAATTTGTGATCAGAATTTGACAAAAGTTTTCTCATAGAATTTGCAAGAAGCAAGTCATATGAGGAAATTAAAATACAAAATTAAACTAGTGATAGCCATGTCTTTTGTTTTCAATTTGTCTCTGTTTGGACTCATACAAATGTTGTTTTTCTTTCTCTTGTTTGATGTTGTATTGCAATAATACATGACACATCTATATAAACTAATGTTGCATAATGTATATTGATCAATCCGAAATGAGTCAGGTGATGTGACAACAGAAGGTAAAATGGCAATTCAATATGTAGAACATGCATGTACATTAACACTTATTCACTCTGCATGCTTACCTCCTTCAAACCCCAACACACAACATTCATCAGTTCAACAAAGGAGTACAGCTATATATATATGTTGTGAAAAGGTTACAATATTCTACCACTATTCACAAATAGAGACACAATGTTCAAATTGAAACAAGTCATAACCAATTGAATACTGAGCTCAAAGTAGCAGCTGCAATCAAAAGATGCCTCGCCTTTGGGGTCTTTGACTCTCCATCTAAATCTCAACCGGATGCATTTTGAGATTTCTTGCCTCAGACTATGAGGATGACTACCAATGCAAGAAGTTATAGATGGCTTAGAGACCCCTCGCAAATGCAATCAAGATAGATCAAGCAGTATTCAAGAGATCATGGACAGGAAGGATAGTTCAGCAAATGATAGGTTACACCGGAAAAGGAGGAAAGGGCATGAATGCGTCAGATATGATGTAGTAGTAGTAGTAGTAGTATGGCAAGGGATGAAGATATATATATATATATAAAGAGTGAGAGCGTACACCAAACACAACTACCGAAGACAAGACTGATGGACACTGGGCTGTATTCTGGTTTTAGAGCACAAGCGGGCACAACTTTGTTATCTTTTGACTGCAGCCTCACCTTGTGAGAGAGAGGGTGATGGGGCGACTAGGTGGGCGAGTCCCCCTCCCCCGCTGTATGCATGATTCATGGTGCGAGTTATTGTGCGCTGGTGTGACTGCATCTCTCGCATGACCTCGTCACCTGTCAGGACAGTGACCTCTGAACTTTGAACTGTGTTGGTGATGGTGGAGGTGGTGGTGGTGGTGGTGGTGGTATTGGCTGAGGAAAGGGGTTTCAAGAGGAGGCATGCACCACTCAGAGCACATCACTTTTTTCTTTCTCTTTTTTTCTTTTCAGTTAATGCTTTGAAGCTAAAGCAGGTGTGCATACTGAACAACTTCAATATTGCAGGTGATAACCCTATGAATACATCACAAGCTACATCTATATCCTAGCGCCTAAATTGCACCATGGTCATTTCTATAACCTAGATTACTATCAATTACATTGTACAGTTCCACAGTATCAAACAATAAAGTCAGTTCCTTGATTCTACAGCTGATACCCAAGAATGGAAATGGTACAAGAAATATGCCTTTACCTAAATTTGAATAAAACATCCAAGCATCAGTTGTTGTTTCTTTGTTTTTTTTAAACTCTAGTCTGGTGCATCAATATGTGCATGGTGCAATTCATGCCAATATCACCACACTGACAAGCTCTCACTTCCTATGAAGATGATGAGTTATTCTTATACCTAATCTCTATAGGGTGAGCAGATAAAACAATTACTATCATGAAAAAAGTGTTATAGTATGATATATAATTTCAAAGCAATAATGGGAGCTAAGAACTATAGTTTGTCTATGATTTGCCAATCAGGGGCTTCAGGAATATTGAAGACTGAACTATAAGGACATTGTTTGCCTGGTTTGTAAGATTTTATAACAGTGCAGTTTAACTATGCATGGGGTATGATTATCATAAAGAAAATTTATTCAATTTCCAGAAAGATATTTTGGATACTTCCTGAATTTGCGAAGCACTTCCCCCTATAGTTTCTTTCAGCTACAAACAATATCATAAAGGCTAACATGTAGTCCATATATCTAAGCAGACACTTTTTCCCCATACTGAAATTATTGAGTGTTGGAGACCACTGTCAACATTGAATATGTAAAACTTTTGGGGGATTTTTTGTGTGTGTGCCATCAATGTTGCTCTTTTGAATATCAGCCTATGCCATAACCAATTGATATGAAATCTAACCAGTTTAGACTATCTGTTACTGCAAAGCGCAGACAATGCCAGATCCCAAGTAGAAAAATGCTCTAGTCTCATGCACCTTGCCATCCTCCACCTTGGGTGCAGACAAACAAATATTGAACAGTGGCTACTGAAGTGGGAGGATCAGTTTCAACAAATGTTCTAGCCTTTCAGGATGTGGGCACTGACTGACGAAGCAAGCGTGGTGATCAAGGGTATACAGCAATACACAACAGTTTTCCAGGGGAGGTTATGCAACAGGCAGAGTGAGTGGGACATGCTACTTGCATCCAAGATTACTATTGTTCACATCAAATGTACTATACTTTGTCAATAGTTATCCCTGAATAGTGCCAGAGGCACATTTATACATAATTATACCTCTCCTGACTTTAAACTGCACCTAAATGACTTATCAAATCAAGCATACCGAAGCATTCTTTTGAGTAATTGGTCACAAGTTTATTTGACTCTTGACACTAATCCTAAAAGATATTCATCCTTTTTTAAATATAACTTCCTCTTGGACCATATTGCACATTCTAATCTCTTCTATTTAATTTTGCCATCCTCTCTAATTATTCCAAATACAGTGAGTAGGTTATTTTCTTAAGGGACATACATGTATGTTAATAATGTATCATTAAAAACGATCAGCAATTTCTACTTTAAAAAAAATTATAACCATTAACAATTTTGTCATCATATACTTTTCTCTTGTTTTAGGTTAGGCATTTTTTGTTTTGTTATGCTTGGGCAGTTGGAATAAACAATTCCTTAATTGCATATTCATGGTTAAGTTTACAGTTTTATAAGTACCGGTAACCCTTCAATATTTCAGGGTATGAAGTCTTTTCAAGAACTTCTCAAGTCAATTTATTTCACATCTCTATTTCCTTGTTTTGGGCTTTGACCTGTGCAAAATCATGATTTACAATACATGATATAGTGAAGTAGGCTTAAGTCTTAAGGCAAAACAATCAGTGTACAGAGTAAATGAATTTCCCATGAAGATAATAGGTAAATATGTGATTTTGAACATTAAGTGCATAGTTAGAGTTGATAATATTATATTACAATAGAATCATTGATGAAATGTTGTAGTGTTAAATATACCTTCCCTTAAATCCCAATGTCAATGAGTAATCACTCAAATTCATAATCAAGTTTTCAAATGAATGAGATGGTGTGATCCAATGATCTGGCTAGTGTGATGCTCTAAATTTAAAGAAACCAGCAATACTTAAAGATATGTATAGAGTGCCTACCTTGTGCTTTAGATCCAATTTCTTTGAGTGAAGAGGGTCCATTCACAACTCCAAGGGGTAGTTTGAGTTTGGTGTCTGAGGTAGAGCCTGTTAGCAGATGATCATAGAAGTCTGGCACCCCATCCAAGATAGCATGTCCAAAGGCCCCTCGTAGCCGGGTTCCTCCATTAGTCGTTCCACTCCCAAACAGAGGACAGAGGGAGAAGTTGACACCAACCTCAGGTTCAGTCAACTGCAGCATTGGCATCTGCTTCAGAGCAGCCATCAGTTCTTCCACGGATGAAAACCTACTTTCCTTATTTTTCTTTGATTTTTTCTCTTTGTGCTTTTTCTTTTCCTTGTGCTTGTGCTGTTTGACTGTTGGTTGAGGCGATGCTGGAATTACAGGGGGTGCTGGCACCTTTTCTTTGGGCTCTTGTGGAGGGGGATAGTCAATCTTCCCTTGTCTGTGAATTTCAAGTAGAATTTGAAGGTCATTTTCAGCAGGCTTCCCATCCTTCTTGACATATGGTAGTTGTTCAATTATTTCCAGTTGCTTCTGTTGTTCTGATGTGAGTCTGATAGGACCTTCTTCATCATGCATATCCACTGATGAATCATAATGCTGCTGTGTTTGAATACTTTCTGCATTGCTAGTTTCTCCTGTGACCTTTATCAATTGATTCTGTACAGGTGTCTTGTTGGGGACTGATTTCACGATCCCCGATGCACAAATTGAAGGTCCTTGCAGAAGTTGCTTCAGAAGTTGATTATGATTGTTCTTCAAAATTCCATCTTTGGCAGCTTTGGCATTGATGTCTCCAATCATTAACATGGCCTGGCTCTGCTGTAGTTTGGCAAGGTCTACACTTGCAGTTGGATCATTAGCCATAATAGACTGCAAAGCCTGATGTGTTGCACTTCCAGGTGAAGTAAGCTGGAGGATATTCTGTACACTCATTACCATTCCTCCTTTCTCTTGAGAATGACCTATTGCTGCCATAACAGAGCTCTCATCAAGAACCCCAACAGGGCTTTGATGTACTGAAGTTGGATTTGGGTTGAAAAGATCACTTGTTTTCTTCTTTGCTCGCTTTTTCTTTGGCTTTTGCACTTTGGTCTGCATTCCTGGGTAACTAGGTGGCATTGGGAAACCTTCAGTAGTTGGGGTTGAACTTTGAGATGACATCATCCCAGGCTGTAAAGGCTCCCTTGGAAATGGTGATTGCACAGGTGACTGCAATGGGGCTTGTGGAGATGGAAATGGAGGACGTATGCCTACAGAGCTGTTGTGAACCGGAGGTACTTGGCTAATTGGTGACACCATGCCTGGATTGGGCATCTGACTGAATTGACCCATGTTACCTTGTTGTTGCACTTGATGTGGACCAGGAAGCCTGCTTGGATTAAATACATGAGAAGTATTGAGTTGTTGGTGTTGTTGTTGTTGTTGATGCTGCTGCTGTTGTTCATATCTCTGCATAGCCCTAACATGCTCTAGTTCCTGGGCAAGCTGCAATCTTTGTCTCTCGTGCTGTTCACGCAATCGCTCCATTCTCTCCCTCTGTTGGAATGTTTCGCTAAATGGATTGTTGTCTTGTCCGATGTTGATCGGCATGCGCTTATCAATTGGAGATAGCTGTGGTAACGTTTTGGCAGAAATTGGTGATTGGAGAGGGGATTGCATTGGTGTTCCAGCTTGCCTCATTTGAATCTGACCGCTGACAGAAGGTGTAGGACCTTGATTTGCTGATGATGCTATAGGTGACTGTTGTCCAGGATGAGTCATCATTGGTGAAGGAGGTGGCATCATTGGAGAGGGATGGCTGCTGTTTGGACCTGATGATTGACCCTGAGAAACCATAGGAGACTGTTGATCAGCTAGAACCATGGGGGATTGCTGACCAGCCTGCTTCAATGGTGACTGACCTCCAGGGGGCATCATAGGGGATTGGGCTCCTGGGGGCACCATGGGAGATGGAACACCTGGTGTCACTGCTGGCGACTGGTGACTTCCAGCATTAAGAGGAGAGTGCTCACTGTTTTGAACAGCAGGAGAATTCTGTTGACTTTGATGTCCCATCATTGGAGACTGTTGTTGCCCAGATGATACAACAGGTGACTGCTGTCCTGGGTGAACCATGGGTGACTGAGGAACCATCGGAGAATGCGGTACCATTGGAGAATGAGGTACCATTGGAGAATGAGGAACCATTGGAGAATGAGGTACCATTGGAGAGTGAGGAACCATTGGAGAATGGGGAACCATGGGTGATTGGGGAACCATCGGAGAATGGGGAACCATTGGAGAATGGGGAACCATTGGTGATTGGGGAACCATTGGTGATTGAGCTGACATGGGAGACTGCTGCTGTGAAGAGGCACCTATGCTAACCTGATGGGATGGATGTGACATTGGTGATTGCTGTGAAGGTTGGACAGGAATTTGCTGTGGATTTGTACCACGTGGCATGTTCATGCCTCCAGGTAACATGTTGGTTTGATTACCTCCTGGCATACCCATGGTCTGTGGGCTGTTAATGGGAATCATCGAAGTGGGAGGTTTGTTGCCAGGCATCATTGGTGTCTGTGGATTACTTCCAGGCATGAGAGGAGATGGTTGCCTGTTGTTTGGCATCATTGAAGCCTGACTCATTGGGTTGCTGCCTTGCATTATTGCATTTGAAACCATTGGACTAGTCTGTCCAGGCATGACCATCATTCCCGCATTTCCAGGTTGCATTATTTGGTTTCCATGCATCATTGGAGACTGCTGACCAGATCTAACAGCAAATGGAGGTCTTTCCCCAGACATAGGTGATCGCATTGGATGTGGAATTTGCTGTGAAACATGGCCCATCATCTGACCTTGGGGCATCATTCCAGATTGAGGCCCCTGCATCATTGACCCAGATGGAGACTGCATTCCTTGGTTGATAAGCATCTGCTGGGGTATATTAGGTGATGTCCCACCTGGAGGTATAAGGGTATGTTGTTGCCCGCCTATCATTGAACTGTGCATGCCAGGGTTCGGGCCTTGACCTTGCATCATCATTCCTTGAGGTGACATCATTCCTTGCATCATTGGGTTGTGATGACCCAGAGGTGAATGGTTCGATGACAGTTTCTGTTGTTGCTTCATGCGGAATTCTTGCAGGAGAATGGCATGCTGCCTCTGCTGCTTGCGAACATTTTCCAAGAACTTCTGCTGCTTAGAATGTCTCTGCTGCACAGCTTCAAGTTCAAGCCTGTCACTTTCAGGAAATACTTTGTTATTCTTACGGCAGGCTCGCTGTCTTGATGTCAGAGCCTTCTTCTTCTTTCTCTCTTTCCCAACTTCGTTTTCAAAGAATTTCAACCTGAGTTGTAACTTCCTGTCTTTGTTGAATATCCATTCTTCATACTCAGGAGTACTGGTATCTTCTGGAGCCTTTTCCTCTGTGGTGTCATATGGATCAAAGTTCATCATGGCATGTGACATGCCATCCATTCCTACATTGAAGAATGGAGATGGCATGCGTTGCATGTTGGGAGACATGAATCTACCCGGAAATCTGAAGTTGGAGACCTGAGGTGGGCCAGGCATTCTGTTCATGACTGGCATTCCCATTCTCTGACCAGGTCCAGGAAGCCTTTGCATGCCATGCATCTGCATTGGCATCTGATCACCAGGAAGTCCACCTTGCATATGCATGCCTGATCCTGGCATTGGTGGGCGTCCCACTATTCCAGAATTCTGTACAACCATGGGACCCCTGGGCCTCATTCCAAAGTGATTCTGGGTCATGGGCGACATTGGCGAGACTGGTCCAGGACTGGGATGTGTCTGGATGTTTTCATGAGCACTGAACCTTGGTCCTGGTGAGAAATTAGGCATTTGAGGGTGGCCAGGGGAAAATGGGCCCATCTCCTGTCCATGAGCATTCATGTGTGACATTCCTTGCATTCCTTGAGGAGGCACAGTCTGTCCTTGCTTGAACAGGTCCGTGCTGTTGCTCCGTATTGGATCCTTGACAGAGTCAATACTGCCAAAGTCTACACCTTGGGGAGTCCTAGGTTGTCGTATTCCTGGGGAAGCAGGAGGAATCAATGGCACATTAGCGCCGGGTTGCTGCTCTGTTAAATGACGTTGTTGCATTTGCACATGATATTGACGGTTCATGGCAAGTAAAAGCTGAGCATGGGGTCCTGGTGGTTTGATGGTAAAGTCTTCAGTTTCTGTATATAAAAAAAAAAACAAGAACACAGAGAAAAGATATTATGAAAGTGTCTTTAATTCCTTGTGCTTTTGCTTGACACGATATGAAGATTAAAAGACAATAAAACTTTCAAATAGTGCTGTAGCTCGGAACACCTGCAGGTCTTCGGACCGCCGGGCTAGGGCATTCTGAGCCCAGTACATTACGTGCCAGACTATGGCACAAATTGGGTCAACCTGGTAAACAGAAACCAGTAACAAACAACATAAAAATGTCTTATTATTCTCCATTTGATATCATGATAAACCTAGCAAAGTTACCATAAACAATTGAGGTCAAGTCGCTGTGAAAATGGCTTGATCTGTGATGTGTTTAAACATGCCTTTAGTTTAGGTTTGCATGTATCGTTGCTGTACTGGATGGTGCTTCATTTGCTACCAAAGCCCATCTCCCCTAAAACTAAGTGAATGAATAATGGAAGATAGAAAGGACATGTCCTGCACTCCCTCAGGCATGGTATATGATAAACATGATGGGATGACATTTAAAAAAAAAATCATAGACAAACAATGATGTGAACTAAATACTTCTTTGAACAAAAACATAAAAGATATGTAACCCATACCTTTAGCAATCATCTTTGCTTCAGCCTGCAGTCTTTCCAGATCAAGATTATCCAGAAATGGATCAGATCCTTGGGTCTTGCTCTTTGGATCTACCTTCCCAGAGATGGCTGCTTCCACATTTCCTGATTGCTGTTGCAGCTTCTGTTGCTCTCTCTTCTCTTTCTCAAGTAGATCCTGAAGAAGAAGAGGTTGTTCATGGAGCAGACGTTGCCTTTTCTGAAGACTATTAGTATGGGCGCTTCCTGAACTTTGACTAGTCTGCAGCTGAGTGCCATCACTGGTTGTAGGCTGAGAGGCAACTGAAGCAACTGGCAGTTGAGAAGTACTGTTTGACTGAATGTTTGATGCAGGACCGGGTAAGATGGCAGCTATCTGGTCAATTGTTGGGACACCCCCTCTTGGTGCACTGACAGAGGAGCTCAATGTTGTTTTTGTTTCCACTGATGAAGTACCTGGACTAGCTTTGTCTTGAAGTCCCTGGCTATGGGACTGAGGTTTCTCTACGAGTTGGGAACCAATTATCGTTGTTGTTAACTGCCCAGACTGGGCAGTCAAAACTTTACTTCTCTGACAAATTGATTGAGAATTTTCGGTTGCTTCTATTTTGATTGTTGCTTTACCCAAAAAAGTTGTGGATGTAGTGAGTGCCTCACTTGGACTGGCTGACACTGGAACTGAGGTACTTGTTTGCAGCACAGAAGCTGACGTTGACAAAGGAACAGTAGGAACAGATGCTGAAGTATTTGTGATATCCGTATGTACAACAGTTTTCTCTTTTGAACCTTTATCAGAAGAAATATTTGTTCCTTGAGATTGTGTTGCGGACTTATCATCATGGTTCATCAAACCTTTGGAAGAAGATTCTTCAGAAGTGTTACTGCTTACTGTAGCAGAAATGTCTCTTCCTGTTTTAGGTGCATCTTTCCTTCCTGAGCTACTGGTTTCTTCCTTCTTATTTGGATCAGCAGGTAAGCCTGAACTGTCAGTCTGTTTGGGCTCATTAGCAGCAGGTTTGTCTTCAGGAACCTTATCACTTTCCTTCTCCAAACTAGCTCCGGCAGTGGAGGTAGATTGTACTTCATTGTTCTCTGGAGCAGCAGAGGGTATGCCGTTTTCAATCTTAGATGAGTTTGAATCTTTAGGAGTGTTACTTGATGTGGTCATTTCATCAAGAGCCTCATCACTCAAACCAAAATCTTTGAAGAGTTGTTGATTTTCTGCAGAATGTTTATTAGTGTCCAAGTCAGTTCCTGCAAAGTCAATGAGATCTAGTTCACCTGACAATAAGTCTTCCAATTGTGCATCATGGTCTTCCTGCTGCGGTGCCATAGCTGGATCTTGACCTGGTGGCAAGTGAAGGTCGCTCTGCAATGTTCCTGGTTGCTGAGCAGGCATTGCATTATGGATTCGAGGTTGGTGATTCTGAATTGCATTGGTGTTTTGACCTTGGAAAGGAGGAGTTGGCTGTTGGAATGGCAAATGAGGTTGTTGGGCAGGGTGATCTACTATTGGAGACATCATGGGTGACCTGCCATGGAAGTTCGGATGAGTCATTACTTGTCTTGGAGTAGGTGTCCTACTATGGGCTTGCTGCCTCACCATATGATCATAGGGATCTAATGGATTTGACCCAACCAGGGCAGTTCTTTGTTGTAAAGCTCTTTGATGCAGCTTCTCCTGGAGTAGGGCAATGTTGCGTGGTCTTGGTGACAGGGTTGGCCCTGACACTGGCATTCTCGCTCCTTGCTCAAATCTCCTCAATTCAATGAATTGTCCAGGACCAGGGATGCGATTTCCACCATCACTAGGTCTACGCTGAAGGCCTGTAGCAAACTGCCCTTGCCTCCATGCTTCATCTGTCTGCTCAAGGGTCATATTAAACTGTTCCTGTGGTCTTTGATTCACAAATGATGGAGGTGCTTCAGGCCTTGGCATGCCTGGTGTCCCAGGGAAGGAGTTCATTTGCTCATTATTTGTAGCAGGAGATATTTGATCTGACGGAGCATTAGCTGGATAGGGAGGTGGGGGACGCTGATGTGATTCTCCGCTCCAATTCTGATTTTGCATTTGCTGCTGCTCCCGACGCATACGTTTTTTCTCCTGCTGTCTCACCAATAACTGCCGAATATACTGTTTTTGTGCATGCTTGTTGCCATCATTCATTCCGACCCTGTCAGCAGGGGCTGCAGAAGCTGCAGGTGACAAACTTTGGTTGCTGGCGCCATCTGGGAAAACTGGGTTTTTCATGAAAGGAGCCTGCTGAGGAGAATGAATAGGCATATCAACTGGCATTGCATGAGCTGGAGACCCAACTGACATTACATGAGCTGGAGACCCCACCGACATTGCATGTGCTGGAGACATGTTTCCTATCCCAGGAGGCACTTGTGATGCAGAGCCATGAGGCATTCCTGGAGACTGTAACCTATCAATGATGGACTGGTTGTTGGACACAGGCAAGTGATCGCTGGACGATGTCGGAGGAGCACCTTGTCCTGCTATCAGGGATGCCAAGTGCTGCTGATGTGTGTTCACACCACCCATTACACCATGACTTATCTCTTCTGAATGGTGAGGAGATCTTCCTGGTATCATGCTGGGTGTTCCGCTCCTTCCAGACTGGAGATGGATGTTAGATGGTTGTGCTACCATAGGAGATGGTGGCATGGAATCCATGTTCACGGCTCCCGATGACTGGTTGGACAGTGGCATGTGGACAGGAAGTCCAGAATGACCAGACAAGGCTTGACTGTTTGCGTTCATCAAGCTGGAATGTGGCATTTCTGTTAAAAGAGACAGAAAACATACAATTATTTCATATATTCTGCATCACAAATTGCAAGACTGCTAATTTTTCAAATTTTCAAAAGCAGATCTTTTATTGAAAGAAAATTAAATGTATACCATTTATTTGACATGATTCACATCAATGTCCTTTGAGATTGTGCTCAGCAAAAACACTACTTAATGTAAAGACCATCTTCAGAGACTGAAATACGCTATTGCAGCCAATCAAAGAGCACTTATAAGAATATTGAAATGAACCAAATCAAGAGTCACATTAAGATTTAAAGGCTTCATGATAATGAGAATAGACATGGCTTAGAATAACATTTGAAGTCATGAAATGTTGCCTTACACAGACAGGAGTAAATATTCAGTAACAGTAATTTTAGCTAAGGAATGCCCCCAAGATTCATGTCAACATCATTAGACTTGATTCTTACCAGTAGCAGGAGACATTGGTGTTCCTGGAATAGGTGTACCTGGCATTGACTTAGGGCTACGTTGTGCCTGAGGGATTGGGGTAGATGGTTGCTGACCCTGCTGCAATTGCTGCTGCTGGGACGGCCTGATACCTGACCCATCCTGGCCATCACTCATCAAGTCGCCATCAAACTTCTGACGCTTCTGTTGATGAATCTAAAAGAATGGGTTTGAAAAGAAAAGAAAAAACATGAAGGAGTGTGAAAATGAGGAAACCCTATCAAAATTTATATCCTTTCGTGTAAGAGCAAGGTACAAAAACAAATAACGTGGCATCAGGTTTCATATTATTTCTCATGTCCAATCTTATTTTTAGTACCATGATATAGGGACTCTAAGACTAAGTCTTAGGTGTACAACTAATAGCAGTAACAAGTGCCTTTGCACCCAGTTATCAATTCAAATTTAGGTAGATTATCATTTTATTTTGCCGTTTCAATATCAACGCACATTTACACAATTGTTGATACTTACCTGGATACTGCTATTGTTATCCATCTTGATCTAATTTCTCATACATATACCAGTGTGACTTACGAAACTTACTCTTTGGAAATTACCTAAAATTTCAGTGATAATAGGAGCACATATAGGGGGACAATTTGATAATCACATACACATGCAAACCAAACTGTGGTTATAATGCAGCGTACATGCTTACAAGAATCTTGCACAAATACAGACTAGTTTATAGGTTTGGGTTTTTTTGTCACATGAAAGAAATCATCAACAGGGATATCTAAGAGAAAGAACATCACAAATCCAGAACATGAAGGATTTTAAATCTTAGTGTTTTCTTTCCTTTCTTCTAACTGAAAAAGTAGTCTTTGGTAAGAATCAACAACTATAATATCAGTAAGTACACCAGTCATTTTTGTTCCTTTATTTACAACCAAAAATGAATCATTCAGTATTTAATTGAGAGTAATAATCCATGTACTTTGGCATGTGTGAGACAAGCCAAACCACATTGGTGTACTTGTGTTCAGTTCACAAAATCAAAAGTTCCCACCACCAAAATAGGAAATAATCTACATCACACTCTCTTTTTATGCCCTTCATAACTCTCCCTTTACAAACATTTAAATCCATTTATATTCCACGCTATCTAATTATTCAATAACAACAAAAAAGCAATAAATGATCAGCTGAAAATGGTGCAATAAAGTTTGGAAATTCTTAAAATGTTTTTAAATGCCGTAGCTGTAAAACGTAAGATTTCGTCTGCAATCTAAAGTTGTGTGAGAGTGCAGTCACTAAAGAGAAACACATATCCAATGCAGCATGATGAGGATGAGAAAGATAGCAGCAGTATGAAATGGATTTGACAGAGCTTAGAGCATACCTTCTGAGCTTCCTTAATGCGTTGTGCGGCACGATTCTCCCTCGCAAGTTGCTGCAAGAGTGGTAGGAGAGGAAAAAGTGGGGAGGCAAAAGGGGCAACACATGCTGATAACAATGGTTGCTGGTGAACATGCATGATATTTTTTTTCTTTCAACAGACAACTGTACACATGGCTTTGGATATAGATGATAAAACAATATGAATTCATCTTCAAACTTGAGCATGTTAAATATCAAGGTGTAACTAATAAACTTGTTTGCATGATACATTAGCTTCTTTTGACTGTCAAACTTGCTTCTACGCTAATGAAGATAACAAAGATTCATGAAATATATGATCTATTTCGGGATTTTTCTCAACATTACTGACTGAAGTTCTCTCTAGAGGTAATTCTTCAATATATTTGAAACAAATTAATGTTTGAATTCTTTCTTTACCAAACAAAAAAAAGGTTAACTAAAAAATATTTGTCTCTTTCTTTTCTTAGTGAGTGAAGCTACATTGAATGAACTCAAGGGGATGCAAGACAATTGTATATATTTATGAGTGAAAGGCTGAACAACTGAATATAGGATACACACTGAAATATGGTCTCTGAGCTACATCTGTACCATGTCATGCATATAAATAATTGATAGGCCTACTAAAGACACTGTAATACATCTAACTAGGATTATAAATATAGAAAAATACAACAGGAGGATACAATTTACACTTGTAAATTGAAAAGTTATGTTTAAAGATGGGTAAAAGTATCTGGTTACTGTTCATTATATTAAATACATCCTCTGCTACACTGATCTGAAATCACTGAGATTTTGCAAGGAATATAAGGAAAACTGCAGAAACAATAGCACTCGTGTTTTTTTCTCAACTTTTGATATCAGATGTACTAATGCAGAAAGATAGCTATTAATCAATAAATGATTTTTTTTTTTTGTCTTTGCATGCACGCACATGCTTTAAGTGTTAGACAGCTGCACATCAAACCTAGTGATTATTTCACATTCAATGTTTATCATTTCTTGCAGTTTAGTTTTAGTTTTTGTTTGTTTTTGGAAGAGGGTGGGTTCTTTTGAAGCAATATTTCTTTCAGACTATCTGTAATGTAAGGAGATCAAACTGTAAGCACTTAAAGTTAATATTTATCTTAGAAGCTAACCCTATAATAGTATTGCCTGATAAAATTTCACAGACATGAGTCTATTTTTCTATCCATGTCCTTTATATTAACACCAAACCAAGTAAATACAAACAATAATTAATTGGGAGCATACAGCAACTTAACTAGGTGATAAAAGGCATTTGAACACTCTCTTTTGGATGCATTTAAATGGAAATGGGTGATTTTTTGTTTGCACTGGGGTGGAAGTGAACAACATGAGGGAGATGAAGTACATAAGGAATACAAATTGTGTAAAGAGAGTTGTTGCTACTTACCAAGAATGGTTTCTTGTTTCCGGAGCCTGCTTTTCTCCATAACTTGGCAATCTGCTTTGCTCTTGAAGGCCAATCTGTCAAGGATAAAATGACATGTTTATATTACAAATGCAAAATAATGATTATCAACTAATGACCAACATGAAAATGCAGTTATACTTGATTTTGTTTAATCTGAATGCCAAGCTGTGTGTTATTAACCAATTATCAAGTCAATGGATTAGCCTGTTAGGTACCATGGTGGTAAATTGCATGTACAATACGTCAGTTGCAAGGTTATCACTGCATATTGTACATACAAATCATTCACCGCTTGATTTGTTTGTATATCATGCAATAATATATATACAGAACAACTCTTGCAATATTAATCCCTGCAGTAAACACAATTATTAGTTCAATACTAAGGGTTTGTTGCTTGTAACAAAGGGTCTCATTACATTGTCTAGTCCTATGAATACTTCATTGTGCAAACCAACCTGGAAAATCTTTCTTGAGATCAGGGTAGTTGATATTTGCATAGAGGACAGGTGAGATGGTAGCTTGGTTACCCAGAGGTTCATCCTTCTCCCACTTCTTGATGTTACGCTGATTGTAGGACAGGGTTTCACCATCAGTCTCTCCACCACCGCCCCCTCCAGGCCAGGGGCTAGGCGGCTCAGCGAAGTCTGGACTGAAAGCAGGACTGCAAAGCAAGATATAAGATCAACTAGGAGTCACAATCCATACACACGATTTGAGAATCATATATGCTTCAAATGTGATAAGCACTGTGAGAAGTGTACCTGAACTATGACACTTTGTCCAAAAAAAATCTCATAAGACATGAACTACAGAGAAGTACTCATCAACAACAAAACTGAAGCATTTGGAAATTATTGAATGGTAGAAAATGGGCAAGTAAGATAACTCCCCGCTGGATTTCTACTTTCTTTTTAAAGCTTGTTTTGTCCTAATTACCTATTTTACTATGTATACACTTCAACATAGCTTTTTATCATGTCGGGACAGTTCTACTCTACACATTAAACTTCTTCTTTTACTGAGGTTGACATAATGGAGCAAACTTTGTCTACACAGTAAAGTTGTCTTTAAATTCTAAATGCACAATAAGTATTACCTTGCTACGGAGTGCCCAACACTGGCCGCCTGTACCAGTTGTTGTGTAAGCGGAAGATGTGGTAGAGGTTGCTTCTGGAGTTGTTGTTGCTGATGATGATGATGGTGGTGTTGATGTTGCTGCTGGGAGACTGTGCTTGGCGTAGCAGTGTTTGTTGCATTGCCATCAACACCTGAATCATTAGACAGAAAATCAGTTAAGTTCTCTTCTAGTTATTCAGTTCATGTAAATACCATTCTGCAGCTACCTTCTATTGATAGTTAAGGTACATTTATAGATTAAATACCAAGTTTACTTTCAGTAAATTGCAATCTCTTGCAGATCTTATCATCTCATTTGCATGGTTTAAGAGAATTTGTTCTTCTCCCTTAATTAAATCTTATTTCAAAGTACCAAGTGCATACCTGCCAACCTGAGACAAGAGAAATTAGGAGTAAATTTTTCTGGATGGACTACGAGGTCGCGAACCACCGAAGGATTGGGGTAGTAGCCCGTAGATTGGGGGGGGGGGGGGTACACAGGGGGTGAATGCGGAACTAACGATCACGTTCGGGCTGCGCTGTGTACATCTTCTATGAGCGCGAGCGCAGATGTCGGCGTGATCTGGTTATCAGTGCTGTGTTATGCTTTAGTCTTATACATACATACATACATATTGGTATTTATTGAGCGCCTTTACATGAGCATGCTCAAGGCGCTTTACATTTCAAAATAAAAACATAATAGTTATATACTCTCCAAGTGTATTACACTCTAAAAAAAAAATTAAAAAAAATAAATAAATAAATAAATAATTTTTTTTAAAATCGGAGTTTTGAGGCATGCACTCGGAATTCGGAGTTGGTATGAAAAATGCGGAGGAACTCCGCCTAAATCGGGGTGGTTGGCAGGTATGCAAGTGTAAGAAGTGCTACATAATCTGAATCATTCTAGGCTTCAAGCAAAGGTCAACCAGGTAGCCATCATTACTATTCAGTTGCACAGCTCTCGCTTTCATTTATAATTGGGTTGCAAGATGGGCAAACTAGATTGCTGAGGTAGCCAATTTCAAAATTTGGTGGTCATATATAGTCAACTGCTCAAATTTCACTCGAAAATAAAATAAGAGTGAGATTATGTAGTTGCTACACAGACGCCAAAGGACTGTTAGGTTTCCCTGGAGAATCTTAGGTGGTCAATGACATCTGGGCAGCTGCTGATTTCGAGTCCTGGGCCTGGTCTTAAGAGTTGCGATTGATTCGAATCAATCAAAACTTCCAATTTATTCGCAACTCCTATCTCTTAAGTACAGAGTTGCGATAAATTTTAAATTGCAATTGATTTGAATTAATCTCAACTCTTTATAATACAGGGCCCTGATATTATTATTGTTGAGTTTAATACCTGAGGTTGGTGTGTTTGTAGAGCCAGCGTGATGATGACCCTCTGGACTAAGTACCCCTGAGAACAGATCTTCAACCTCCTTACTGTCTATGTGAGCCAAATCTGATAATGAGAACAAAGAATATGACATACATTACGTGATACGTAAATCATTCAACAATCTAATAATTTCAACATACTGTGATTTTACTGTTTGAGAGGGAGAATGTTTATTTTTTTCCAATGCATGTGTCCCATCATTTTTTTTTCTTTCTTTTTGTTACAATTCAAAAAGGGCAAATCGCTTAATAACCCAGTCACACCAAAGAGACAGAGAAAAAAGTTATATTATCTGAAACCTAATAACCAATAAACAGTCTGTTTACAGCTGGATTGTAGTCGGAGTCACAGTCACTGAGGGAATATACAAATTCAACAATCCTATTGAGCAAACATATATTATTTCTTCTTCTTGTTGGTTTCCTCTAAGAACTACTGATTGATTGAAACACTGATGTAGCTCCCCAAAAAGTGAATACCACTTCCAATGTGTTGCATAACAATGCTATCAGCTTTCAATAATGCTTACCTTCAGGAACAATGTGTAGGTTATATGAAAGCAACGAATCGAGCTCATTGAGGTGATCTGAAGATGAGCTGGCTTGAGTTGTGTGTCCATTCTGCCCGGTCGTACTAGAATGTGTGGCTTCTGCATCGATGCTATCAATATCCAGGTCTGAAAAAAGGCGAGGAACAATAATATGCTTGAAATATAGTTCTATACAGAGGTGACCATTTCAAGAAAGCACAAGTACCTATTGTGTTCTTACAAAAGTTTACTTGGATTAGATCTCAGATGAAGTTGTAACTAATACAAAGATTATGCTCAAACTAGAATTCAACAATCTGGAGACTGCTAAAAGGAAGATATGGTTGCCTATCACATTCTTACAAAATTTCAGTGGTCATGGCCTTCTTCATATGCTCAAATTGTTGAAATACAGGAGAGATAATGCATTTCTTTTGCTTGTTTGTATGCATACGACTCAGCTACTAAATTGTCATATTGCAGCAATCCTATCATGGAGTCTACATTATAAGACGTCACACAATTAGTACTATAATACCCAATTACCACGATGCTTCATGCAAGCAGTGTTGCCCGAAGAGAAAGATACAAAGTTTGACTCACTTTCACCATTCTTTCCGAGACCATCTCCTATTAGCATACCCAGGAGTTCATCTTGAGGCAAGAAGTTGAGAGGATCTTCACCAGAACCAAGGACTCCTGCTGCACCATCTACCGTTGCTGCAGACTGTAAAACAGGTAGGTGTGGAACATAGATCACTCAGTCTTATAAAGATGACAACAACAATGACATCAATACAAAGCACACATAAATTACCATTAATCTAGATAACTGTTCAAAGGCATACAGAAATGCTAAAAGGAATAATTAACATTCACTCATGAATGAGATGATGAGATAATACATTTCAGATACAAGTATTTGTTATGAATGTTCCAAAAAGATTGTGCCTAAAAATGTGGGAAAATTAATACAAATCGCAAACATGAGAGGTAGGAGGTGGACAAATGTGAAGAGAGAGAGAGAGAGAGAGAGAGAGAGAGAGAGAGGCAGGGAGAAATATTATTATTATCATCATCAACATTTGGCATCACCTGTGCCTGGGAGGTGAAAAGTGAACTGAATCACTTTAACCCTCAGGTCTCTCCTTCAGGGATAACCGATAAGGGTGTGCATGTGGACCATGACATTGTAGTTTCCCCCTACTCTTATACGGATAAAGCAGTGGGTTCTTCACATAATCTTCCCACAATCTTCTGTTTGAAAAGCACGTTTTACGAACTGAGCCTAAGACTACGAAATATAAATATATAGAATGTAGAACTGGAATCTTACTTCTCTGTGTACATCTGCTTGGTTGTGATGGGTCTGTCTGGATGAGCCTGCACTCAACGATGACTTGTGTTCTGCGGAGGAGACTTTGATTATTTCAGTACCTTTACTCTGGTGGTGTGATGATGAATGCTTTTTGCTGTCTTCATCTGAGATGTCTAGCCTAGTGTTCATGGTAGGCTGATCTTTGCTTGAGTTTAGCAGCATCTTTCCAAAGAATGCCTCCTAAATGGGTAGAAAGTGGTGAAGAAAACATGAAATATATGCATCATTGTCATGTTCATTCATAATATGTCAACGTTAACATGTCATGAGTCCTCATACTCTCAGTCTGAATAATATTCATGTCTGTATGTTGTTTTGATGTTGTCTGAAGTTTCCAAACATTCCTATCAATCAAGATTTGGTTTGAGAAATTAAATGCAATTCAATACACACTGTAGGCCTTGCATAAAGAAATGTCTACAACAACCAAAACAACAAGTACTAAAAAGGTAATTCTTCAACATCATACTTCTGACTGTAATTAGGGAAATATATTCTCATATATACATGTTAACATTTTACATTCGATCAATTTCTAAGACAGTCATGTAATTTAGAAATTAAGCACTTACACATACCTGAAGATATGATGGAAACTGGTTCTCCAGCTGACTTCTTTTGTGAGCTCTTTTCCTCTTCTTTGATTTCTCGTAGTGACCTTCTTCTCCAACTGAATGAGTTCTCTGGAGAACTGCTCAAAAGAATACCAAAGCAGACTCTTTAAATGAGAGCTCAGCATAAACTTGATGATGAATATACTTGAAGGAGATGCAATGAAGTGTATTAAAAGCTTGAGACAGCAATTAATTGTTTGCTTACTAGATATAAGGACTTTACACTACATACAAGGGACATGAAAGGAATTTTCTCTAAACTTCTTAAATATTTCTGAATGAAAATTGGGTCATAACATGATAACACAGCGATATGCTGTATTCTAATATACAGCAAACCATTAACAAGATAATCCTGTAATCGAAAGCCGGGATAGTACAATTTTGCTCTGATAAAAGAATATGTGGTTTGTACTATATTTTGTCTTTGTAAATGCACTGAGTGAACAAAAGCGAATATTAAAAAACAAAACACATAAGCTGATAATTTATTAACAAACTAAAGTTTTCAGCATGTAAGGAGAGATTTTTCTCTTGTAAAAGTCATTTTCAACTTTATATATTTTCAAATATATATCATTGTTATATCACTCTGCGGGTGCTACGTAGTATTTTACTTACGCTCTGATTGATCCCGTATTGAATCCATGGTATCTGAAGCCCCTTCTGACATACTTCTACTCATGGCTGCAATTCGGTTCTCTTTGTGAGAGTGAAAGCCCCTTGGCTTGGCAATGAAACCTCCAATACCTGGAAAGGCAATGAATCATATATATCCTTATTATAAAAATACTAGCATATTAGATGAACTTACTGAAACTACAGCTAAAAGAACACCACAATAGCTCAGTCGGTAGAGTGATAGCTCAGTCGGTAGAGCAGTGGTCTCGTAATCCGGTGACCCGGGTTCGAAACCAAGGCGATGCGCTAATGCCCTTTGGTAAGGCATTAATTCTCATCACCAGGTCCCTCAGAGAGGACCTAAAGCCGTCGGCCGTCTGGTTGCTTACTTACAAGCATTAAGGCTTTCTTAGCAGTCAGGTAAAATAACCACCACCATTCCATTCCAATACAAATATAAATATTGTTGGATTAGTAAAGTGTACATTCTATATGAACCACGTACTATCCTTCATCACATTATATGATGCAAAAAGACAATGGTCCCATATTCTACTAATTCAGCTCAATTAGATCTTAAGTATGACTCAAGTTTAACAAAAGGAAAACTTGGACCAGATTAATCTCCTTTGTTAAACCAGATTTTGAACAAAAGCTGAAACACCATGTCAGGTTTACAGCTTAGAGGAATACCAGCTTTTGTGGCCAGTAAGTAATACATGTGGAGCTGTTTGAAGGAAGAGAAAACTTTAAATCCTATTCAGGAATGGACACAACAGAGGGATTACAAGGAATTGTATTCTTGGTGATGCAATGACCATGGTGGTGAATATGTCTTTTGTGAGGTGGTTTAGCTTCTGCTATCTCAAAAAAACTCTCCCAAAATTCACTAGCAACTTAAGTAGATCATAACATCACACATAAACTGCAACATATAATCTTGTTCTTGAGTTTTTAATAATGAAAGATTTTGATGAACTATTACACTTGGTTTTTATGTACCATCCACTTTGTTGAATGTTATAGATGTATTCAGCATTTCACCTGACTTCCCATTTTCAACTCGAAAAATTAAATAAACCTACACCCATAAATACTTGCAGCTCACCTGGTCGTAATGATGATCTGTGTTTCGACTTCTTCTTATCATGATGATGATGATGATGGTGATGATGATGCTTCCCCTCACCTACACTACTATCATTCTTCTCTCCATGGCTAAACCCCCTCCACTTCTCTGGATCTACTGAGAGAGAAATAAATAAATCATTATGAATACATGTGGACATATTTTTGTTATTAGCCATAAAATTACCTCAGTTTCTATGTGTATGACAAACAGTAAATGAGTATTATTAAAAACAAAGTTATTATATATTTTACTGAATTTTTTTTTTATTCTTCTTCACTTTTCATATTTTGAATTGCAATTATATGGGGCGAAATTGTACTAGTTGGCATTTCTATTAGAGTTGCCCCAGTATACACCTCAGTCAAAACTATTTGTCAAAGAGCAATAATGCACAAATATCTCTGGAAGTCATGTTCAGTTTGCCATAAATGTGAGAATTGTTTTGTTTTTCATTCTTCTAATTAACCCTGTCAATACCGAAGGAAAAATATCCCATCTGAAGATATATTACATTATAGTTAAACAAGTTCATTTGAAATGAAATGATCGTATAAAGAGGTTCCATGACACACGCTTTTGCGACAACTGCTCTAAGATCAAATTCCTACATAAAAATACAAATTTGCAACTTCATCTCTGGGGCTAAACCGAAATCCTGAGCTTGAGCATAACTTAACCACCATCGCAACCCCAACCCTAACCCTATATCTCAGACAAAATGAAGTCTGAAGCAAAAGTTGCTGGAGCAAATATTGGATCACTCAATATCCCCCGTACCTCTTTCAATACCTTCTGGGTCGTATTCCTGATCAGCGATCTTGGAGATGTCTGAGTGAGGATCAGCCAAGCTTCGAAGGATGGCCAGGCTGCCCATCTTGAGACTTGATCTGACCTTCTTGGATTTCTTGTGCGTGCGAGCCATGGCCATACTACTGATCTGCTTGAAGCCCGTCTCTGTCAAACGAACACCTTCTACAGAGAACTCTTTATTATGCAGTTCTGTATTTTAAAATAAAACAAAGGAATCAAGGGTGTCTGAGTGTTAGTGTCATACAGATTTCATTCTTGTGTACAGAAAGATTAGTCATGGAAAGCTAATGTAAGGTAACAGAAGACTCGACTACTGTGGAGTTCAAAGTAATGAAATAATTGTAAACTATGACATAGATGGTGGATATAAACCACCATTCATGTCAAATTATATCAATCGAGATAACACAAAATATTAACCAAAAAATACAATGGCAAATGTGCCTCCAATAATTCCTAAATTTGCACATCGATTTTTGCTGGGGGAGGGGTGGTTGGGAGAGTCTCAACAAATTTGGCCATCTTAATCACTCATTTACTCTGATGCCATCTTTTCACTTTTTCCTTATCCATCATTATTTTTTCTTTCATGCTTTTATTTTTCATCACTGCAGTTCATGATTTCATGATGGGTATGTAAAGATAGAAAATGTACCTGGTTCTTTTATTGCTAGTTTGGGTATTCTCTGAGGTGGTTCCTCGGTACTGGGTTCTGGAAGCTGAGGTTCCGGTTCAGGAAGGAAGGGTCTGCATAGGGTACAGATAAAGCCCTTGTCCATGGCTCTCTCTGTTTCATCTTCAGTGTACAAACTGTTACAAAGAGCATGCTCCCACCTGAAAGAAGAAGAGAAAACATCCCATCTTAAAAACATAATTTCTCCAACGTATGTTTATATGTTTGTTTTACCTGACTGCTAAGATAGCATGTCTATGCTTGTAATTAAGCAACTAGGGGACCGACGGCTTTAAGTCCTCTCCAAGGGACTTGGTAATGAGGATTAATGCCTTGCCAAAGGGCACTAGCACATTGACTTGGTTTCGAAACAGAGACCACTGCCATACCACTGAGACATTGCGCCTCAAGTAAAATAAAAAAACAAAACAATATAAACCAACTAATAATTATAATGTTCATCATTGTAAATTTTCATAGAAGTCAATTCCAGTCTCTCTATACACCGTAGGAATCATTCCCATCCCCAAAAGTAGTTAAAATTGTATGCCACATCCATTCACAAAGTTGCATTAACCACCAACTAATACACTGAATCCCATTTCTAGATCTATATAATGCATCACATATATTTCCCCTTCAGACATTGTCTCCCCTTCCACCTGGCAATGGTAAGATATTATCTGTTGAGAGACAGAAGGGTATTAGCTCTATGTAAAATGATATGATTTAATGCCCTTCTAGATCTTTAAATATCAAGGAAGAGGATTTAACCTTTGACAGTGAGAACATTGGCAGAGGAGTTCATTGTCTCTGTAGCTCCTGTAGCAGTATGCACAGTGTGTCATGCTGGCACAAGGTCCACACTGAGTGTAGTTGTTCATCCAGTCAGCATTCTCCCCAGGCGTCACTGACCCGCAGTGAGTGCAGCAGACACACCTACAGGGGAAACAAAACAATAGGTGAACTGTACCTTTCTAACTTCAGACATACATAAGAGTAGGGTACAAACCAGTGCATAAAACCCTTGATGCTCATACCAAGCTTGTGTGCTTACAGTAATAAAATACCAAGGGCAATATGGTACCAATAAGGTACTAAACATGTCAAAGCCTAATTTCAACGAGCAACATTTATTTGATCCTTCCAGATTATCCCCTTAGGCTGCAAGATCATATCTCATTTAATTTGGACAAAGAGTAAATAGTTTCCTTCCGAGAAGATGGATTATTTACCAAATCTGAAAAATATTGTAATTCATGATTAAGAAATAAAGTCAGCAACCGTAAAGACAAAGCACATAATTTGCTTTATAATATGTGCTTGTAGGACCACCCCAAATGAAAATGGAGATATGAGTGCTTTGAGAATTCAAGACATGCATTGACTCACTCTGGATGCAAATAAAAACTAGAAAAAGAGAAGGAATTCATTAAGACTACGAATTATTCCTCCTTCTCTGACAAAGCATCTAAGTTCATCTACAAGAAAAACTGAGGGTACTGGTAGTAGTAGTATTGAGAATTCAAATTCAATTTCTTAAACAGAAAGATAATCATAGGGACAGTTATATCCCAAAACCCGACAGTTCAGATATGAATCTTACCATTTGCATTTCCATCCACCTTTGGGCACAGTCTGCAATGGTGGATCTAGGCAGTAGGTGTGATAGCTGATATCACAATCATCACACAGTAATAACCTAGCCTCATCGCTTGACTTGCCACATCCTTCACACACAGTACAGTCTAGACATCTCCAGCCCTTGGATAATACAACCTTCGTGATCTGGAACACAATGTAAGATTAGAGATGTTAACATTCAAAGGTTGGGTATAAAAAGCAGTTTTGTTAAAAAAAGAGGTTGACACAACACATTATAAACTTCAGTCGACTCTAATATAAGGAGCAAGCAAATCGTGGGAAGCAATATTTTTGGGGGTGTTTTTTGTGTTTAAAAAAAAAATTGCAGACCTGGTATTAGTTACAGTGGGCAAATAATCCATAACGTACATGACTGTGATATGTTGTTTTTTATCCCATGCATGCACGATAAGTACATGAATCTTTCATGATTAGAAGCTCAACTAAAACTACAGATGAAACATAATAGCATATAGTGATTTGTATGGGCTTGATTCAAACACCATCCCTTTCAAAATTATAGATTATTATAACAAATGTATTTACTATATCAAATAAAGATAAACAAACGAAACATACCTTTATGCTGACACAGTAAGGGTGATAACACTGGCCACATTGAGAACACGTTAGTAATCTCCCTTCTGATCCAAGACCAAAGCTGCCACAGCTCAAACACATGTCCTATACATCAGAAATGAAGAAATGTAAATTGTAGAAAAGGAAGAGGATATCAGAAATTACAGTATACAGTGAGTATTCAACTGATCAAAATAAAAAATATGAGAATTACAAATCAAAATTTGTAGAAAAAAGTATGCAAAGAGAACTGTTGGCACTGTGTCATTCTTATGCACACATCAAAGAGAATAGTTATAAGGTAAAGAAAGTAACATTTGGCTAAAATTGAGGAGTCTATGTAATGACAGCAGATTGCAGAAGAAACATAAGATAAGTCGTATCTATGTTGTCAAAGGACACATGACATAAGTTGCAAGAGTGCATCTCAGGTCACGACCCCCTAAACATAACATAGTCTCGCATCATGTTCAGGATGATATGGGATACAAAATCACTTTTAGACTTATGGTGATACCAGAGTAAGTGAAGATATTACCTGAGTTGCAGTGAACTTGTCATCCACGGAGAAGAGGACCACAGTGCTATGCATGGAGGTATCTTCCTCATCCTTCTCCTTTGCTGAAGGCTTCTCAACAACCACGGGATCTATCAATTCTAACTCATCTTCGGGCTGTAGAACAAAAGGTTTTACATTTCAATTAATCATAGCATTCCTTTTGTTTACACAAAATGAATGGATTAGATAAGAAAGAAAAAGCAGATGTTTATATCATAAATTGATTGTTTTCCCTTGCCTTTGTCCACAGCTAGTGCAATTTATGTATGTAGGGTTATGGAGATAGGTACAACATGTCAACTCTTCCCCCAGCCCCCCCCCCCCCCTTCCCACCCAAGAAAAAAACAATTGTATGACAGAGGCTGATACCTTATCATGTATTGAGATTAACCATGTTTTTTGCAGTGAGAAAAGAATGGAAATCACTTTGGCATTGAATATTTCACATTTCAATTATGGAAATGAATGGGAATATACTAAGATGTATTTCCACATCAAAACCTCTTATTTGTTGGTAAACTTAATCACTTCTAATATCTGATGAAGTCCCCTTTTTTCTTCCTGTTTAAACATGGAACTGGGGTATGAATGAAAATCTATCATAAATCAGCAATAGGCAAGGGATTAATCCTATTAGTTACTATCAATCTGGTCTATGCACAACGGGTATCATTAGACTTACTGGTGGTGATGCAGGTTGTATGGCAGCAATCTTGATCTTGGGTTTAGGACCTCTCCTGCCGCCAACGTTACCTCCTCCTCCTTGCCTTCTCCTCCTCCCTACAGCTGCATAGCTACTACTGCCTCTTCCCTGCAACAACAATGACAATACCATTCATGACAAATACCAAATTTTGGTAATCAAGGTCTGCCTTTAGCCCACATATCATAAAAATAATTTGATTTTCTTAAAAAAAAAAAAAATCTTTTAAACACACCTTTATTTGCCCTCCCAAATGCAACAAGGGCTTACATTTCTACCAATATCACTAACAATAACGGCCACAATAGTTCAACAAGAACTATTAAAAACACCTGTAATAAACAAAATCTTCTTCACACTGACCTATATCAAGTCTCCTTCAAACACAACTAGGAAAACTTCCTTTAAAAAAAATTGTGGTAAACTAGAATCACTTTAAATGAAAATATATGACACACAGGTGTGGAATAAAATAGCTACCCACCACAAATTAGCATACTAGTTTTCTTATGCAATGACATACAGAACATAGCATTTTTTTAGGCAGCTTGCGGTATCATACGTGAAGAAGGCTTTAGAATCCAAAGCTTACCCTTGGCCTGCCACTGAATCTTCTTCGTCCCATCCTCTCCAGCTGACTGAGTCTATCCAGAGGTTTGCCTCCTCCATGGTGTCTGGTGACGGAGGCAATGGTCATGGACAACCCACTAGATCCTGATAGAGATGCTGAAAACTCCTGCTGCAAATCAAATAACAGATCAGATGTAACTTCTCAGAAAACATCAGGTGGCTGATTTTAAGTGCAACTTCATGCTGGAAAGGATTCATTTTTGTAACTAGTGCCAAACAAATTTTTAGATTATTCTAATGCATAACTCTTTCATTGTATTCAATTTGAGAAGACAATGAGGGTGGTGGTGGTTGTGAAACAGAGAGAGAGAGCCAAAAGGATAGGGGGAAGAGACAAAGGAGAGGAGGGGGGGGGGAAGGAAAGAAACAAGTGAGGGATACAATCAAAGAAAAAGTGTGATATGAAAGAATGATAAGTACAGGAGAGCTAATAAATGAAAGGAAATTAGTGATAACCATCCCCAAAAAGGCACCAGCATCAGTCAACAAACTCCAGAAACTACAATTTCTCTTTGAAGACTGGACGACATGATAACATACCTGTAACTCTGGCCTTCTATCATCCGATGCCATGGTGTAATCTGTGTCGATACTACTCAGACTCAGACTATCCTCCTGAACACTGGATGCACTCAATGACAGGTCTTGCGATGTGTCATCTGGAATAGGAAGATGAGGAGGTGTTCTTGAGCTGGATGCAAAGGGACTTCTTCTCCCTATCACAGGAGAAAGGGGTTCCGATTGTGTAACATGAAATCTTAGGAACTAAAATAATGCATTTCCCTTCACTTAACTGGATATATTTAAATTGCAAAAATGGCACTGGGGAAGCACAGCAAATCTATCATTCTTCTGTTTCATCTGTAGTATTAAAAAAATCCCAAGGTGGTTGTTTTAGCATGCGTTTCCAGAAATAGGGTTACGGTTCCTTGTGAGATTGGGTATTCTGCAGTTGTTGCATTTATTTTATCTCTTGGTACTATTTTTTAAAGCTCCAAATCTGTTTTCCATAAACATCGTAAATACATTTCGTCCAAAAAAAAATGGTGTCGCATGGCCACAAAGGTTGACTTCACTCTAATACAGGACTCACAATCTAACAATATCTTATTTGATGTAAGGAACAACTAACCATCTTCAAAGGGGCTTGCCGATCTTCTCCTCTCCAGTTCCAGTCCTCTGTTTGGTCTATGACGACAGTCTGGACACTTGTAGGGTGTGGGCTGGCCCGCTGCCTTGCTCTGCTGGTACTTGCTTATTACTGTTCTGTCATCACAGTCAGCATGAACATACCTACCAACATAAACAATGCATGTGAGCTTGAAACAGATTCAATATGAAAATACAAACAAGGCATCTTGGCTTCAAAGAGCTTTTACACAAATGTTTGTACGAACAAACAAACAAATTTCACATCAGAAAGGAAAGCTTTAATGAGTTTTTGCCCCTGCTGGCCTACAAAAATGTGAGTATAAAATGTTGCTTCTAGGGAGTTCAAAAGGTTAGAACTGTCATTCTATGCAACTATTATGTAACCTAAATAACAAACAAAAAATAACCATCCAATCATAATATAACCGAGGAGTGAAAACATCTTTAGTACAAATAATTTTATGACACATTTCAATAAATGTACAGACTTAACATATTTGCAAGAGGTAAGTCGTTATGTCTCAACTACATGTTTTCAACGTAATCTTACCCAAGGGATTATAAATAACATGAATTAATTGCAAATACTATGATTGTCACAGATCACAATTCCAATATAAGACATTTTTTAATGAAAAGCACCTCATTTGATATTAGAGGTTGCATAAATCTTAATTTCCATAGCAATATTGTTAGATTTAGTCTGAACTCCAAGTTCCCTTCACCAATTTAGCCAACATTGTCAATTCCTACCTATTGCAGAGATGACATTGGACCATGACTTTGTGCGTAGTATGATGCCTGTATGCCTTGCCACAGATGGGACAGCAGTAGCCCTTGTTGCGTTGTTGATAGCAGCTATCACAGACGGTGTAGTTGTGATGCCACCTTGAGCTGGGACCGTTTCCCGGCGTCCTTGCACCACAATCTGTGCATACCCGACAGGTCTGTCAAAACAATGAATACAAGAAATGAAATAAGTTATAGCTCAATTTTAAATCTCAATTGAAGGTTCATTACAAAATGGAATGAGTTTAAGAAACTTCCAAGCTATCTGTCAGACATATGAAGAATACATCTATACGCAGTATGCATGAAAAAAACATTACTGAACTTAACATGCTAACACAATGCTTTCATATGCCTACTAAGGACCAAACATTGCAAGTAGTCTGAAGACTCAAAACTGGCAAATGCATAACAGGATTTTCTGGTGTATAAAAGGTCACATCATTTTAATAAACATTCATATCATGACAAATAAAAAACATAACTCCTCAATTAAGCTTGGAGATATTAATCTCGCTAATGAATACATTTGTGTTTTACCAACTATAAGTTGAAGTATAACATCTTTGGATTCAAATACCAAACTTTTAAAATAATTTAAACATAGATTCAAGCAGATATTATCTGATGTTACTATGTAAGAAAAAGACTTATGGATGACTTACTTTGCATTTCCAGCCATTCTTTGGAATGGTAATCATGGCTGGTTTCAGGCAGAACGTGTGATAGCCCTTATCACATGTATCACACACAAGCATCTTGTTATCATCCCCAGGTTGCCTGAAAACATAAACAAACATCATTTGGTGAACTATTTATGCCTAATAACAGATAATTAGATGGTATTTTTCTTAATTTACATAATCAAGAATGTTTGCCAAAACCATGGTTTGAGTGAGAAAGACATATAATCTGCAATCAATGCTCTAGCATCATTATTAATTGGAGCTTTAAAAAAAATGGTATGATACCTCTATATGATCAAGGCAATGTGAATCAAATGAAATGAATCATAACACCTGTATGATCAGAAATCAGTAATCACATATTTGTACAATGCAATTTTTTTTTTTTATAACAGCATGATTATGATGGTAATCCAAATAATGGTAATGATGAAGTAGGTGATAACAAAAATGATGATAATAATAAAGACTGCTCATGATAGAAATGATGATGAAGATCATAATCATGTCTCCCAACATACCTGCAAGTTTGGCAGATCTTACAGTTTGGGCACTGCCAGCCTGCCCTGACAACAGGGTCAATGGAGACAGGTGGATCAAGGCAAGAGCCATGGTAGTGTTGTCCACAACTAGTGCAGAATAATGACTCTGAGAGATTGCCAGGCAGGTCACAGATGGCACATTCTAACTCCTCCATCTCAACTGAAACGATAACATGTAATGAATGAATAAACTTTTACAAATTTTATTCCTGTAATTAATTTGAAAATGAAACCAATAGATATTGCATGGTGGGTGCATCCAAATAATGAATATGACCAAATAATGGACTTTTCACTACAAATTAAATTCTTTCAGCAAACGATCTCCAAGTGGAACAATCCATTACCAAGCAAGGGATGAAAAAAATACACTATGCCCTATATACAACCTGATTCACCACGCTATGAGTAATGGAAGGAAAGCACCATGGCTATTTAACATACATTTATGTCAGAGTAAAACTGAAACCAAAATCCGATTTATTTTGTGCTTTTGTTTACGTAATAAGATTGTGATATTCCTCTCTCTCTCTGACAAAAGATATGTCGAATAATTTAACAAAATATTTAAAAAAAAGATAATTTGACTTACCCCTCTCTTCTGCTAAATCCAGATGTTCTGGACACAACAGAATAAGAGACTTGATACCCTATGGAGAAACACAATCAAAACATCTCAATTAAAACACAGTTTCATGAAAGCTAACAGAAATTTTCCTGAAAGGCTGATTTCACTCAAGACTACACCTTCTACTCAAAAACCTCAAATGGACACTGTGAAAGACATGAAAACATGGCTTTATCTTCAAACCGTAAATTAAAAGTAGCTTAATACAGGTTCTATGAAATGGTGCACATTATTTCAGGGGTTTGGTCAACTCTTCTTCTTGCAAATATTGTTTATACCATTAAACCATCACATATGCCGTAATAGTGAATAGCTATAGATACTTGGAAACCAAACACAACTAAATGAATCCAAAACAAGATCAAACTTAATCAATACAAACATGACTATCAGAATCCGAGATGACTCAAGTTGAGAATATAGAGATGAAATAGATGGTGTAGGATTACCTGAAAGGAACCACTGCTTGCAGCACATGGGTAGTGATAGACCCTGTTACAACCTTGCTCCACACAGAAAATGGTGGCTCCAAACCTGTGACAGTAACTGCAGCGCTGTGGTGGAAAAACACAAAGGCATCGTCAGATATCGTAATCATAATAAGTGTAAAATGTGATTGTTTGGGACCAAATTTGAGTTGGAATTGGTATATTATTAAGCCCTAGAAATTCATCATGGTTAACCACTATGTCCTTTTTCCTATGTTAAATTAATTATGAATGGCAGCATACAAAACAAATACCCTTTACATGTATTAAATGAACAGTAAGAGGCAAAAGAGATAGCTTCAAGTAGGAAGCCCTGCATACACTTCCTCATCTCTGTAGCTGTAGTGTGTTATACAGAAATGTGTAATGCACAAAGTTTATCTCATTTTATTTTGGCTAAGTGGTTCATAGGATTTGCAGCCTCAAATCATGGAGCAGGGCTTCATGTGACTACAACATGATAAAATTTCATGCCAGCATTTTTCAATATGGCACAAAAGATAAGACCCTAATTGTGCATAAAGGCAAGTCATCCATGAAGCCTGTTTTCAAATGAGTTAATAATGTTATGACGATGAAACAATGGAGTGACATTCAAATTATATGCTTTACTGCAGAATCTAAAAATATCTCAATTTACATCTTGTGAATCATAATAAATAACAATGCCCTCTTATTTAGCGCTCATATCCGTTATGTACTAGCCTGAAGGCCTGTTCACAGATGATATGGGAAACATCTACAGCACAAAATGAAATCTATTTCATGTGTACAGTCAAACCTGCTTTAGTGACCACCTGTCTACAAAGACCACGTTCTTCGTTTCCCTTGAAAATGGTTTCTCAGTGAAACATGTACTAAAGGGACCTGTCTACAGAGACCAACTGTCTACAATGACGACTTTTTATGTTTCTCTTGGGTGGGCGCTATAGACAGGTTTGACTGTACATGGATGGCACTACAGTGAGAAGAAAAAAGTACACATAATAAAGGCCACTAAGTGTACTCATTTATCTCTGTGTTAGGAGATACACAAATATGGAAAAACTACAAACGTGTCTTTTTTTCCATGGCAGATTTAGGGAGTTGGTTTACAGAATTATATGGGAGCATTTATGTTCTTGTTCTTGAATGCTCTACATCTAGTTACAAATTCAAATCACAAGATTTTCCCTAATTCATTAAAAGGTATGTTCAGCAATATAATTTACTGCAAGAATAAACACTGAGGAAATGAGCTTCATACCTGAGTGATCCCTGAGAATACAGCCTTATCTACGTTGAGGAGTTGAAAGTTCTCGTTTTGGCACACACCATCTGACCAGGCAGCACAGCAGTGATGTGCTGTTGTGTGACCTGTGAAGAAACAATCAAGAAAACAAGATGTTTGTATGAAAGTTTTGCAGTTACATTGAACTTTAAAGCAATCTATAAGGCACTGTATCATCTCCTGAGAGCCTAAAGCTCATTAACTGTATGTGATAGTACACAGGTTGAAGTCTTTTTGACTCTCAACAGCCAAAAGAATTATTTTATAAATTTTCATCACTATTCACTATAACTAACAGACCCTTTTAACAATTGAGTGACTTTTTTCTGCCCTAATACCAACATGTTTTGAAGTCCAAGTATCATACCCCACACAGTATAATTTTGTTTTGAAATTTGAAACATTGATGAATACACCAAGAGAAGTGCACTTTACCTTTGTTGAATGTGAGATATCTATTGTTAGGAATACAAAAATGCCTAATGATTAATATGTAAATGTTTGATGGAGGCAGAGTTTGATTTGGTGAAGGAGAAATCTAACAAACCAGCCAAGCATAGCATAAGTGTAGCACTGCAGGTATTTATATATTTTTTCATTTTAGAGCTACCATACTGTGTGTGAGTGGTCGATGTGCATGATCCGATAATAATAATGTTTTATTTACCCAGGGTAGCCACTTCAGTTATGAAACTGCTCTTCCAGCAGGCCCTGCATAACATAATATATTATTACTACCCTTCTCCAATCTAATATGCTGAGCGCCTAGCTAGAAGGCAGAAGGTCCCATTGTTATTAGTCTTTGATATTACTCGGCCGGGATTCGAACCCACAACCTCCCGTTCATGAGGGGGGCGCTCTAACCACTGAGCCACCATGCCAGGTTTTTAAACCCCTCATGCCATAATACTATCCAGTCATAGTTGATTTCTTACCTGCCAATTCAAAGAGAGTTTGGAGATCTGGTTCATCAGCATGGCCTACATGACTCAATTCATCCAAGCCGTCTAATGATGGATCCTTGATAGAATCAGGATTACTCCTACGAGGTGATTTACTTCTATCCCTAAAAGAAACACAAAAACAAATTAACAACGAATATGAAATAAATATCAATTTATTCTGATCAATTACATGTGAAATTTCCTGTATTTAATACAAAATGCTTTCAAGACTGATAATTTTAATGTCAAAGTAGGGTAGAGAGATAGGGCACACATCTGCCCGTCTATACAAATAATAGTCATCATTGGATATGCCATTTTGGACAACATGAATACACAAAGGTCGCATGTACATGAAAAACATGCAAAACAACATGGAAAACAAAATTATACGAAATCCAGCTGAAGATACCGGCGAAGGAAGTTATGTGTAAATATGACGGAAGGTCTTACCCCAGTCCATGCTTATGTGCCTTAGGAGGTCCCCGAGCTCGTCTCCATGTGAGATGCTTTTGGCTCCTGCTCTCGTTAGGATTATAAGGAGCATCCTCTTCATAGTTCCGTCTGGACCTGGGCAAGGGTTTCCTGAAGGGGTTGAATCCCGGAGTGGAGTCGAACCGCAGTAGATCCCCCTGCCCTAGCAAGCTACGCTCACCACAACAGCAGAGGGAACAGCTCGGATCACTGCTACTGAAAGAAGGAATCAAACAAATATCACATTGAGTCGGGTGACACTCTTACAAAAATACTTAGCATTCAGAATTTATGTGCCCATTTCTGAATGTATTGTAGTTGTGACATGCACATTGATAAATTGAGAAGAAGAAAAAAAAAAAAAATTCCTTCTTGTTACAAGGAGAATTTATATAAAAGATATCCCAGTGAGAAAAAAAATATCACCCTACCTGATAAAAGATAAAAGAAAAAACTAGATGGAATTCGACTGCGCGCAGTCGAAAATGATGCCTCCGTCATAGAGCAATTTTACCAACCAAAACAGAAGAAATTTTTCAAATTCAAGTTCATTTGTAATCCATTAACAGGTTCTCAAAATATCGTGATTACAAGCTATTTTTGCATACATAATGAGCCATGACCTTTGACCTCATGACCCAAGAATCTACTCAGTTCATTGGCTCTGCAAGATACATACATGATCTAAGTTTGGCAGGAATCCATCAATCTGTTCTAATGATAATGCGATCACAAGCCATTTTTGCATACATAATGAGCCGCGTGACCTTTGACCTCATGACCCCAAAATCTAATCAGTTCATCGGCTCTGCAAGTAACATACATGACCAAAGTTTGGCAGGAATCTATCAATCTGTTCTTGAGATAACGTGATCACGAGCTGTTTTTGCATATATAATGAGCCCTGTGACCTTTGACCTTTGACCTCGTGACCCTAAACTCTAATCAGTTTATTGGCTCTGCAAGATAAATACATGACCAAAGTTTGGCAGGAATCCATCAATCTGTTCTTCAGATAACGCGATCACGAGCCGTTTATGCATACATAATGAGCCCTGTGACCTTTGACCTCGTGACCCCAAAATCTAATCAGTTCATCGGCTCTGCAAGATAAATACATGACTAAAGTTTGGCAGGAATCCATCAATCGGTTCTTCAGATAACGCGATCACGAGCTGTTTTTGCATACATAATGAGCCCTGTGACCTTTGACCTTTGACCTTTGACCTTGTGACCCCAAAATCTAATCAGTTCATCGGCTCTGCAAGATACATACATGACCAAAGTTTGGCAGGAATCCATCAATCGGTTCTTCAGATAACGCGATCACGAGAACGGGACGTATGGACGGACGGACGTACGGACGGACGGACAACCCGAAAACATAATGCCTCCGGCTACTTCGTAACGGAGGCATAAAAATAGCTGTGTGTACCAGGATCAACAACAGCAGAAATTCAAGGTAGTGCTTTGACAATTGAAAGCAAAAGTATAATATTTCAAGTGCTTCATATTTCAATGATTTCCTTCACTTCCACAATTTTGAGAGAGGAGGAAATGCTAAAGTGGAACTACTGAAGTGGAATGTGTGACATAAACTGATCTTATTGCAGCATCCCTAATACAACCTAGCATTCTGACACTATATGCAGAAAACAAAACTGTTTACAACATGAATGAGGTTAGATACAACTTCCAGCTGAAGGATAACATACTCACCCATTATTACAATCCATCACATCATCGTCATACTGGTTCTCATCCATCAGACTACCCCCATAACCCCCTGTATGCCCGGGGCTGACCCCTCTATGACTCAGCTCAGGGGACGTTACCCCACTGTCCGTTGCAGCACTGTAAGAATCCAAAGACTTGACCAGCGACTGGTCGCTACAAGTTCTTTCCACTAATTGTGATTCTGAATGGTCGATCATATGGGACATATCCCCGGGGTCATCGTCCTCTGGTTCCTCCTCCTCCTCCTCCTCTGGTGATTCATTGTCCAAGTTTAGTTTGTTGGAGGAGGGTTCCACCTCCAAGTTACTGAGAGTTGTATCCATAGTTATTGCAAGATCTGTCGGCTCCTCTTCACTTCCACCCTCCACTCTACAATAGACAAAAAAAAATGACACACAGTTTTTAAATAACAGCTTCAAACTTGGCTTAATTCTGGATAAGGATTATGGATTTCCTTTTTTTTCCAGCAGAATGAATCATCAAAATATATATTTTCCTTTTTTTTTATAGAAACATCCTCTTTTTTCAAGAAATCACATCTTGTATTTAACACTTATAATTAAACATGATTGGTCTAACTAAAGACGTACAATTTTTTTTTTTAATGTTGAGGTATTTTGTTTACAGTTACTACATGAAATATTTGGAGAACTTAAATCAATAAAAAGAATACCTTCTTTAAACAAGGCACACTTGCAATCATTAACACAATACAGCATTTCTGGAAACTACAGCTAAATATGCATATTGCATAGGCTAAAAGATATTCAATACTTGTACAATGTCTTTGGGCAAGCTTTGGTTAAAAGTAAGATTTTTTTTTTTAAAGATTAGAAAACTAAGATTGAAAAAATCTAATTGGACATTGACTTTAGCTACAAAGAAAAAAACATGATGAAGAAAAACAAATTATTGTCTACCTGAGGCCTTTCCGTCTTTCATTGACATTGAATGTTTCACGTTTCGGCCGGCCTCTTCCTCTTCTCTGTGGAATGCTTTCCACATCCATCGAGACCTACATGTAATCAATCAAAACAGATTAAATAAAAGGTTAGAATATATATTCTTTTACGAAACAAAGCGAGAGCAAATTCAAAATAAAATGTTGACTTTTGAGTACATATATGTAAACATAATTTCAAGAACATACACTTCTGTCATGTGTGAGATGTAGATGTAGCTTTTCATAGAATAATCATGATATTGATGCATTGATAAGTAGCCTCTATTAGTACTTGAAATTACAGAGTAAATTTTCTCTCATGCCCATAGAACATTAAATGGTTTCCATCATTTAAAATTTCCTGTAGATAGCAAAGAAAATGTAATTTCCATGCAGTTTACCACAAAGATACCCATGCAAGTACATGTATTTGATTTTAATGTGGTAAATTTTGCTTATGTCATACATCATGTACGGTGGTAGTACACAACCATACATGTAACAGTTTATATGTACTGCGATCTAGTACAGAATCAAAGACTCTAAATTCATTCATAGTTATAAAAATCATTATCCTTTCAAGATATCAATGAGAATAACATACATCTATAAATTCAGATTTCTGTCATTATAGACACTATTTTTCAAAAGTTGGTATCAAAGACAAGGTACAGGTACATGTACAAATACATAGCCACTGATTTATCAATTAGGAATTTCTCCCAATTAGATGACTTTCTCTTCTTTTCTTTTTTCATTTTTCCTAATGAATTTCAAGTTATTAACATCATTTTAATACAGGTGAGTGAAACATGTACATGTAATATGTACTAATGTAATAATGACCACCCAAGGAAGACAAGAAAAGTGGCCTTTATACATGGACATGTAGGCAGGTGGTCTTTATGTACAGGTTCCTTTAGTACATGTTTCAATGAGAAATCCTTTTCAAGGGAAATAAAATTTGTAGACAGGTGGTATTTCTATACAGGTATTTCTATACAGGTGGTCACTAGAGCAGGTTTGACTGTAGTAATGTTTGGAATTGACTTGATTGTCGAAATGTGTAACAAACACAATTCAGTTTATTCTAGAATACGATATATATGAAATTTCTTTTATAAGAGCAAGACAAGTACTGCATTACAAATGGCTACCATACATTTTATGTACAAATGTATTTCACATATATTCATGCATCACTGCACTTCTCTTTTGATAATAACCAGGGTCTTGTGAAATAGCAGATTCCCACACAAAGCTCAATAATATGTTTCAGGGAATTTGGTCATGCAACAGTCACAGCATTCAACTCACCTCTGATTCTGGCTTATGGCCAAGTCTTTTCCTGCGTCCTGTACGAGAGAGAGAGAGAGAGGGTAATAACTTTTCAAAAATATTTTGAATAAAACACAAAATATAAAGAAACGCTTTAACTGGTAATCCACCCCAATGTAAGTTCAATCAATTACATGCATTACTATTAAATACAGTGTACAACTGTACATGTCCTTTTAGCCAATGTAAAAAGAAAGTGCTACCAAATTTAGTATAGTCTTATATTCTACAATTATTTCAGGATAAAATTATTTATCTGATGACTTGGCCCAATATTAATAAAGTTAACAACTCTGAATGCTCAAACATGAAAACAGACATATTTCAAATAATCAAAGGTATGCTGTATTGATCAACATGTAGTACATGTACTTCATTTTCTGTCAGGAAATGCAAATATTTAATTATTAAAAACTGCATCAATTTTTTACCACTCAAAACTTGGGCAAGAACTTGCATAAATCACTTGGACATCTACATGTACATGTAAATTCAGTGTATATGGATATGTTTTACCCGAACTATCAAACTACAAGTAAATTTCCTTCACAAACGATTGAAATTTATCATCAACAAAAACAATGATATCCTGTACGTGAAAAATGTGTACACATTGCAAGTGTATAATAGAAATAGGCGTAACTTAATGAGCATTCAAGTACTTCAGTAGCCAACAAATCCAACTTCTTTGTAAATGTAATTTTACCAAGGGGAAAGCATGTTGTAAAGCTATATATACTGGTCTATACATTTGCAAGCTGTAATAATTTTGCTCAATTTATAGGCAGAATATTGATAGACAGCATTAACATCAATGTGCATGTAAAATTAGCAAATAGAAAGCAGTGACGATATTCTTTCATAATAACATGGAGAATTCTCCTGTCTGTGTATTTGGGTGTTTTGTATTTTATACATGGTGGTTTCCATCTAGGAAAGAACTATTGCACTTTTTTAAAGATCTTACCTAAGTCAAAGAAGAAAAAAAAACATACATGTAACTTTTTATTCGCTGTTAGTAAATAATGGAAAGTCCACCCTTGAGTTGATTTTCATAAAGCCGGAGTAACAAAAATGAAAAGACAAAGAGAGAGAGAGAGAGAGAGAGAGAGAGAGAGAGAGAGAGAGAGGCACACACACACACAGATACAAAAACAAAGAGACTTGTTACTGGAAAGTAATTAAAATCAGATAAAGAATACAATTTTTAAATGAGCGGAGGTTCTGAACAAATCTTGGGTGATCTATTTTGCATAGTACTCTGTTTTATTTGCTTTTCTAGACACTAATGAAACAATTTCATGCTTTCTTGTTTTTTCCCCAAAGATAATCCTACCTGATAATCAAAATCTGTGCCCAAAATATCTATGAGAAAAGTATTATTATATAGGCATGAACAGGTACATGTACATTGTAGGGTATCCTGTATAAAAAAATCATAAACTCCTTCATTAATTGAAAAACTTATCATGGTGGACTATTCCTTTAAGCTTGGAAGCTAAAATAAAGTAGATATTTTCAGATTTATTAAACTTTGTATGAAAACTAGTAAACTACTGTACGACACAAATTCATTTCACAAAACATTGGCATGTTTATGTCTCATGATTCTGCAAGTATTGATGTAATATACACGTACATGTAGCTACATGTACAGTACATGAAGTTAACGTTTTTTTTAATTCAAAAGATTTTTTGTTAAAATTGCACCAAATTAAAAGAGCTATCACATAATCTATGTACATGTAGCATCTCTCCCATTTGTTATTACCGTATGTGCAAATGATGTCATTGCTCGTTCCAGTGAAGTGGACTAAATTTAAGTACATACATGTATACATGTTGTAAAAGTTAACAAAAATTAAAAAATACTTGTTAAGTGTAACAGCATAAAATATAGACTGGCATGAAATTAAGTCCAAATTCTATGAAGAAAGGGATAGGAAACAAGATTTGGACACACATAGACACAAACACAATCTCACCTGACATAATATAACCAGCTCCAGTATATGGTTAGTGGACCAGCAGAGAGAGAGCTTAGATATTTAGTACAGCATGGTAATGGCAGAGTAGGTGTGATGAGAGAGAGCGGTGAAAAGGGCTTGGACAGAGGCCGATGAGACAATATCTATGGTTGATAATGTACAGGCAGAGGGGATCGAGGATAAATCAGCATGATAAAAAAAGATTCTCGGTTTACAGTTACATCATATCATGTACCGGTATGTTCTTTCAGCATTTTATTGGTTTCTATTTTGTTTGATTCGTATTTCGTAAAGATATAGACCGGTGATGGTAAAATTGGGGTTCAAGGCTTTTGGGTGCGAAATATCCATTCAATATCGTTTAAATATTGCCTTCAGAGGTTTAGATGGCAATTCTTCAACCTAAAATTTGCAAAAAAGCAAAAATATATGCCCAAATATTCAATGTTGAAGTGCATTCGCGATATCTATCCAGGCTGGAATCGATATGATAATTTACCAAATATATCAATTAGTAGGCAGTTTCCTGGCAAAATTGATATCATCATGTATTAGTCAAAACATGTTCTTTCACATGATTGGTAATAAGAGCATCCATTTACTTTTTTGAGAGGGGGGCGCTTCCAAAACTGGTCTATACCTTTAACTAATATGGGTGAATATATAAATAGATGATAGAAGGTGTTAAGCAATAAACAAAGTGTTAGAATAGTCCTGTGTACCATTTTATTGATTTAAGAAAAAGCATATTGTTTGCAAATTTGATTAATTTCAATCACTCATCTTCCACAGTGCATGCAACTTTTCACACAAGAAAACAAGTCATTCAAGTCACACTACCAATGCATTCCAAATTCATTTTTAAGTTACTTAGGGTGTGTTTATGCTCAATTTTTAAAGGCAGAATGAGCGATTTGAATCGCTCATCATAATCGCAGTTCCACGGTGTACTGTTACATGTAATGCTCACTTCTCTGGCTCCTCCAGGCATGATTCTGGCTCTGCAGCTGGATTCGCAAACCTGCACTGCGCATGCTACGTTGACCCCATTGAAACGCGTTTACAAATGATTGTGCGTTTATGCTTCCCCAGAATCGCCGATCCAAAACGCACCTTTTTGTGAGTTTACGATCGGCGATTATGATCGCCTTTTTTCGGTGATTCTACAAAAATGAGAAAGGACGCAAACATGTTTTGAACTAAACGCGTAACAAATGCCTCATTCTGGCCAGAAAAAGTTGAGCATAAACATACTAAACATACCCTTAGTCAGGAGAAATTTCTATTTAACAAAAATGTGTACACAGGTGTGATGACAGATACATGTACATGTAGATCTGAAATCTATCTTTACAGGGATAAATTCACAGAGCATGAGCTAATGAACATTTTTTGTTCTCTCTCTCTATATTAATTGATTACATGTATAACAAATGTAACACCTCATAAGAATAAGAATATTGATTCATTTCATAAACATAATCAACGCTCAAAATACACGGGGGCGGTGGGCGATTCGCCCCCGTGAGCTCCACAATCGCCCCCGTCAGATGGTTCACGGGGGCGATTGCAAAATTAAAAATCGCCCCCGTGGAATTATAAAATAAAGATTATCTTTTCTGATATAACTTTAACACAATATTGAGTATCAATTTTCAAACCTTAAACCAATAAAATGGAACTAATTAGATGGCGCTTTCTCTCCCATCTCTATGAGTATTACCGATACAAACAACAGAGCTCGCAGTGCAGCTGTAGTGCGGCCGTCAGCAGTGGCTATACTGCGCCGGTAGTACCGGTGTGCACGCTGCTGACGCCCAATATCTGCTGGAGCTGGAGACGATCGCGCAAGGACTGAAACATGGAGAAGTTTTTCGTTGTGAAAAGTGTGAATCCTCTGAAATCTGGTTATTCTAAAAGATTAGCAAATAATGTAACTCGACCAGTAAATCAATATTGAGAAGAAGATCACCAAAGATGTTGCAGGGGCGGATCTAGGCGGTTTAGGGGGTTTATATAACCACCCCCCCTCCCCCCGTGGGCTGCCAAGTGAAAATGTGATGTGCATAGAAAAATGCTATCATGTGTCATTGTGTCCAGACCTACACAGTATTAGTAGATGTCAGTAGATGCCAGGAAAATATCACTAATTAACGGGGGTTCAAAATAGCGCCAAAAAATCACCTCGCCGCTTCGCGGCTCCTCGACGATGCTCCGCATGTTTGTAGATGCCAGGAAAACGGGGGTTCAAAATAGCAACAACAAAAATCGCCTCGCCGCTACGCGGCTCGTGGACGATGCTCCACATCGTATTTGGGTTACCCCCCCCCCACCCTTAGCAAAAAGCTAGATCCGCCCCTGTGTTTTGGAAGGATATGGTAAAAACTAAAAGTAAAGAAAGAATGTAAATAAGGTTGCTCCGAATAATGAGGAGGACATTGTGTGCAGAGCGGGAAGAAATGGAGAGAATGTCATCACGGAGATAAAAGTCAATAACACGTATGTAACAAGTAAATTTCTAAGAGGGAAAATGCCGACTTAAATAAATGATAATGATAAAATACCAAGGAATTTAGGAGTTTCATGGGTACCAATTCAATACAAATTTGTATTAAAAAAGAGCCCCCGTCGGTACTAAAAGAGCCCCCGTGAGAGGGCTCACGGGGGCTCTTTTTTTTTTGGAAGAGCCCCCGTGGACAAAAAATTAATTTGAGCCTTGAACATAATGCACATGTATAATGTAGCTAACAAATGCACATACTGAAGTTTGAAAGTGTGACATTTTTTTGTAAAGAATGTTGTGAAATGTAACTTTTCAATTTCATTCTTTCTATGATCAAACTGCAACAACAACTTTGATAAACATGCCATTAAATTATAAAAACTAAATGTGTTTTAAGCATTCAGGCACATAAATACTTGTTTTGTGATATAAAAAAAAAACAAGAGGTAGAGTGTATTTGCTTTACATATTAGATGTACCTTTGGACGTCTTACTATGTTAAGTCCAATTCCTGACAGTTGAGACCACTAAGATATAATAAGTTAGATACAATACATGTGTACAATGTATAAAGGAACTCTCCTACTGGTCATGTGTATTATATCATGTATAAAGAACACTTGTATGTTTTGTACCCAAAATCCTCAAAGTGAGCACGGTATCTCTTTTCTCAAGTCTTATGATCAAAATAACATTTTATTCCACCCCCCCCCCTTATACATCATTGCAGGATGATGACATGAAGTCAAACTAAAACAAATTGTGATTAGTTTTGTTAACTATCTATTTTAACACATAACATAAGAGAGTTCTCCATAACTTCTCTATGAACAATTGCATGTACGGACACCTATCATGACCATATCACAAATGGGGAAATCCCTCACCTTAAGATGACCCCAGCCTAAAACAAATCTTATTTTTCCAACTTTCATTACTATCCAACATGTTTCTCTAATTTTCTGCTGACATATTTATTCAAGCCAGCTTTCCATTCTCTTAAAATTACATTTATCTGACATTCAAAGACAAAATTATTTAAAAAAATCTCCAGCACCTCCTTGTTTGAGGTTATGAAGGTACAATTACAAGCAATGCTGAATGCTTGTAAACTTGACAAATGTGATGGCCAGCAGACCAGGATAGATCCTGTACAGTTGTAGCATACTGTCATTAACTCACTATATTTGAACAAAGAAAATGCAAGTCTTCCTAAAGTTAATCTTCAAATAAAAACCAGGTAAATTCTGATAAAGATAAATTCACCCCTTCCAGTACAAAATTAAGTGTTTATATTACTGACAGACATGACGATAAGTCAGCTACTCCTAGAGTTACTTGTAGATGTACATGTGTAGTGATTTTACAAAGTTTAAGAATGTTCATAAAACTTCATAACACATTGAAATTCTGAATTTTATACATATACCGAGACTTACGGTACATGCAGACTCTTTGAATTTGATTTTTTTTTCTCTCTCCCTGTACAAACACCAAGTAAGTAACATAACAACATTCCCCACAAGGGGGAAATAGATTAAGAGACCCTTCTCTTATATTAAAATTGAGCACCAAGATACTAAATATCTTCAAAATGTTCAAATACTGTAAAGAGAAAAAGTTCAGTTCTAGTGAAAGTGGGCAGGTCCAAGCTATTTGGATTGTGACGTACGGGACATTCAGAGACTTTAAACAAGAAATAACAACATATAAAATTATTTATAGGACTATTTTTTGGTATGAGTCTGTGGCTATTATGGACTAGTTCATTTGTGGAAAGTTTTAGTTCTGACCATTTCTTTAATTAATTTTTAATGTACTTAATGTGCTGCGTGATGTACGGGACACTGCAAGCCATCAGGGAATACTAAAATGAGTTTATGAAAGTAGATCTAGATCTTTGTGCAAAGTCCAAATTGAGAAGAAAAAAAACTGTGATTTTTTTCTGAGTTAGTGTTTGTGATTGAATTTTTACAGACGTGAATCAATCAGATACCATTATTTACGTATGGGGACCGAACTTTAACATTACGATCCAAAAGACATGAATTTTTTAACCGAGGTTCACCTGAGGCAATTTGTAGGCGAAGACAGATGCAAATGACCGTACCACTACCACTATAGTAGACCAAAACTGAAATTGTACGAAATTGCGGCCCACATCTTGTACACAACAAAAGGGGTGAATAAAACACTGCAAGTTGCATAATTCAAATTTGAAAAGAAAAATGACTGTAATGTTGCTGATAATGAATATTTTTCGACCAGACCTTCATAAATGATTTCAATTCAGGGTCTAAGACTTGTGTTTTACCATTTACAATACAACATTTTGACCCGGCGTTAGTGGTTACAAAAAATACAAGTTTTGGGATTTTCACAGTTCAAATCCCTGCAAATAATGCCCTTTAATGTTGATCTACACTTCATTGTGAATCTGCAACAAAAAAAAGCATTCTGCAACAGAGCTGTACTATATGTAGAACAAGCAATATTAACATGGAAATAAAATAAAGTTAGTTGCCCAATTCATGTTCAGCTCAGCTCAGTATTGCAATCACATTCACTTCACACTCGCAGACACACACTCTCAGTCACTGAGGTCTCAGTGCATCATCAACCAGTACGAACAGGCATGCAAAATGTTTTTCATTTCATAATAAATTCTGAAGCTCATAGGATGAGATATTATTTTCCCACAAATGTAAAAAGCATGCAACTAATGTATTAATATGCCAGCTTTCCGAAATTCTAAATATCCACCCAATCCCGGTTAAAACAATGAATGCAAAGCTGCACGCTCAAGCCCAAGCGGACGTGTAATTTGTTAATTAAAACGATGGAATTTACCTGCACGAACATGCAAACTCAACATTAAAATTAATACATTTCAAGCCAAATCTCAAATAGAATCAAAGAACTTACAGTGGTGGCACTTTTGCAGGACGATAACCGGCGGGTTTTGATGCCCGTTCATAGAAACAAAGGGTTTGAATATTTTCATCACGATTACTTGTCTACTGATGATGCCGCCATATTGAATGCCTCTTCACTCATTGTGACCTCCAAAACAGGGAGATTTAAATGATAAAATGTAGATCCGCTATCTTCACAAATAGACCTCTGGTGATTAAAAATAAGGCATTTCTGTGGTTTTAATAAATTGATCTATTATAGCAAGCAAAATAAATTACGCATATCCCATTTAGTACATTTTTAAAAACTTCTTGATGTTTATGCATTTTCGCGGATGAATCTAATGTTGTGAATGGAGCGACCCTTTTTATTATGTTAATAATACTACACGGTACGAAAAATTCTCTTAAATGTATACACTCGGTATAGATTCTCGAATTTTTCGTCTATTTGTTATTTCTCGTCAATTGTGTTACCTGTGGAATAATACATCATATTTTGATTGGTATTGAGGAAAACCTAATCGATCTCTTTATTCTCAGGATTGGCTTTTTGGTGCAATAACATGGGTTTTTCAAGTGCAATATATTGCAGTCTACGCTGCACTGTTGAGGTATAGTGGCCTGGACGTAACAGAAAAGCGACCACGCACGCCGTCTACTCTGTACACACACAGAGCCCCACCCCCATTTTCAAAACATGGGCGGTATAGAATTAATCGGGAAGCATGATGTAGGCCCATGTGACTCAATGATGGCTGTGGCTTAATTGCTTTTCCTAATTAATGGAAAATTAATATTTTGCTGTATTGGGTTTTTCCATTAGTTAGCCCATTTGTTGTTGTCTTTCCACAAATTTGGTATTCCTATGCCTACCTTGCATTGTGATCATCAATTGATGTGGCGGTGTGTCGTTCGCTTCTGTAATTATTTCATGTCTAACAAAATAATAGGTTATAACGTTTGATATATTTCATCAAATGTGAATGTTGTGTCCACCGCCTGTAGGCAGCTTACGGCTGCAAGGTGTTCTTGTTACATGGCTTAGTATTCCTAACCGATCATTAGTCGCTGCCAAACACTGACAAGCAGAAACAAGAGAAAAATCGCAGACAATAACATTTGAGAATATGGTAAGACAACGAGTCCGGGATCGACCCTTGATAGTTATATTAATACATTTGACTCAGTATGATAGAAAGCGCACATCAAAATGCAATGATAAAGAAGAATACAATTACATAATTCTTTCTATAGCTTTCTTTGACAAGCACAAGAGGCACTCGGCCCGACGCCCCCTGCCCCTTATCGAGAGAGAATTTTAGCGCCGGGCCGGAATTCTCCCTCTCACTCGAACGACTCATCAGAAGCTACCGAATTCAAAGACCGTCAATACTACTGAAGGAAGTTAGACCACACAGCGAGGTCACTGACAGGTGGCTCACTCATTAACTCAGCTCTCCGTAACATAAGAAAAAGAGGATCATGGGGGACCAACATGCACCGATTGGGGAAGTTTTCTATAGAGGGAGCAAGTAGCTACAAGTAGGACAGTGGGGCTTTAAAGACTGTATGGAGGCTTATATATACCTCTATTCTTTTCTATTAAAAATGCAAATTATGTTGCTCGGTATCAACATTCAGATGATCATTAATTTCATGTACAGGTGTGGAAAGCTAACACGTTTTATATTCATGACATCAGAGGGGCGGATCCAGGATTTTCCAAAAGGGGGTGGGGGTGTGAAATGTACGAAATTGCGAATGTATTTGTAACATGATCAGACAAAATAATCTATTGGTTCATAATAATGTCGAAGGAAAATAGAAATCACAAAATTGATGTGCATTGTCATAATTTGCTTAACAAATCATGATAAATTTATTTTTCTGTGACACGTGTATTAAAAGTGATAATGAATATTCATGAGATGCCTAGATTTGTTGGTTTCTATTGGTTTCTGTTGGTTTCTATTGGTCCTATTGGTCCTATAGTTTTTTTATTGGTCTTATTGGTCCTAATGGTTTCTATTGGTCCAATTGGTTTCTATTTAGAATTGGTCCTATTGGTTTCTATTTATTTCAATTGGCCCTATTAGACTTTAATGGAATTTCAATTGGTTTCAATTGGACCAATTGAAGTCCAAATGGAGGCCAATTGGTCCAATTGAAACCAAATGGGGACCCATTAAAGTCTAATGGGGCCTAGGCCAATGGGGCCAATGGGTCCAATTTGTCCAATGGGGCCAATCTGGACCAATTGAAACCAATTGGGGACCCATTAAAGTATAATGGGGCCTAGGCCAATGGGGCCAATGGGGCCAATTTGTCCAATGGGGCCAATCTGGACCAATTGAAACCATCTGAAGTCCTATTAAAGTCCCATTGAAACCTGTTAAAACCTATTGAGACCAATTGGAACCAATTGAAACCAAATGAAACCAACTGAAATTTCAATTGGTGTTCAATTGGTTTCAATTGGATTTTCGTCTTGGGAGGTTAAATTTCAACGGCATTTGAAAGATAGTACTAATTTACAACTTCCCTAAAAAAGGTGGGGCTTGAAAATGTCTTTAAGTGGGAAAATAACGACTATTAGTTGTCAAATCGACTTAGGATCTATAGAGTTAATAAGTAATAGTCTTGATTTTCAGACCATTGCACAGAATGGTTGTACGTTTTATGCTGCGCAAAGATTCAGTCAATTTAATTTTTGCCATTACAAGAAGTGGGTTATTGATGTAGACAAAATGCTCATGTACCCTTTACAGCTCATTTTATGTATGTTATTACCAAATATGAATAAAAAGCCAGTCAGTCACTCAATAGTGTCTGACAGTGAAGTCTAGCAAGTAAACAGGTTTCCTTGCATAATTTGAATATTAGGACACTGCTAATGTTTAAATTTCACAGATAGGACATACATGACATATTCATAATTCCTGCAAAGTTCTACAGAATTTGATGTTGGCTGCAAAAGGGACATAGAATGTTCACCGGCACTTAAAAAACGAGGCCTTCTGATTGGTTAGAAGTTAGAGAAAAGTGATCTGTCACGTCGCGACACGTTGTATGCTTCGTTGCTGCACAATGCATAAAGACGGTGGTCTGGTACTTCACCAGTAGATTGCTAAATTATCTGTGTGTGAACTGAGTTGTTATCAGGGGCATCGCTAGACCTTTTTCAGTGGGGGGGGGCGGGGGTGTAGAGGCCACTGATTACCGTCAAAACTAGCCACCAATTACCGACAAATATATGTCAATGTCCCAATGTCTAAAAATTTAACCCTATAAACCCGGGGCCAGGAACTAAGTTATTTTCAGTCCCCCCCCCCCTCCCGCGCAAAGCGCGGAAGCTTTGACACTAATTCATTACATTATTGGTGAAGAAGATGATTCGTTGTACCGTTCTCTACTCTTAATTCTTGTCTGAATTCAGTTTCCCCCTTCCGCGCGAAGCGCTGAAGTTTTGACGTTTTATTCAATAAAAAGAAGACGATTCGTTGTACCGACTCTTAATCATTGTCTTAATTTTTCAAAAATGTTTCATGTTAGATAAAAAGTCACAGTTCGTAGGAAGAAAAAAAAATTGCCGACAAAAAACGACCGACATAATACACTGTAAAAAAAAGTTGGGCAGATGTTATTGGGCAACTCAAAGTTGGGCAAATCTTGTCCAATAATTGGGTTATTTTCTCCCAACCATTTTCTAGATGAAGTTACCTCATGAAAAGTAAAAATAGGTTGGGTAGGTGTTACTGGGCAAATAAATGTTGGGCAAATATCGTCCAATGATTGGATTATTTCCTACCAACCATTGTTGGGTAATGTTATTGGGCAAATTAAAGTTTGGCCATTTTTGTCCAACATTTGGGTTATTTTCTTCCCGAACATTTAATACATGTATACTTACCCTATTAAATGTTCAAAATTAGTTGGGCAGATGTTACTGGGCAAACTTAAGTCGGGCAACAATTATACAACAAGAGGGTTCTATTCTTATAATAGATGTGTCGTGGTCGAGTGAATATGTCATCCCCCTTTCTTTCTTTTCCCCTTCTCATTATTCTCCTTTTTCCCCTTTTCTTCCTCCGTCTTTCTCCCTTTCTCCCTTTCTCCCTTTTCCGCCTTTTCTCTCCTCTTTCTTACCCTTTCTTCTTTCCCCCTCCTTTTTCTCCTCTCCTCTTTCCCCTCATTCCTCTTTTCTTCTTCTTTCTCTCTTTCCTTTTCTTTCTTTTCCCCTCCTTTTTCTCCTATTATCCCTTTTTCTTTCCCCCTTCCCCCTCCCCCTTTTTTCCGGGGGGGGGGGGCACGTGCCCCCTTAATCCGCCACTGCTTAATTAGAATACAAAATGTTCTTTGGCCAGCACAAAATTATATACGCTTCAAGTTCTTACCCTGGGAAGAGATGATACCCATGCAATGTATACGTCAGACCCGGATCCTTGGTCAGACACTCCCTCACATGTAATTTCCCGCCCTTCAACGTTTATAGCTGCTAAAAATATTATCTACTACACAGCCATGCCATATTCGTTTCTTTTTACCGCAGGAGAGAGATATATAATACGGTTCTAGGCCGGACACCTACCCCCTGGACATTCACCCCCGGATAACCACCCCAGTCAACTACCCCCTAGGACAACTACCCCTTAGGGTCACCACCCTCTAGGACGACTAACCTCAGGACAACTACCCCCTGTAACTACCCCCGGACCGAACCCCTGCACAACTACCCCCTAGGACAGCTACCCCCGGACAACTACCCCCCCCCAGACAACTATCCCAGAGGGTAGTTGTCTGGGGGTAGTTGTCCGGGGGTAGCTGTCTTAGGGGGTAGTTGTCCTGGAGGGTAGTCGTAATTGCCATGGGGGTAGTTGACTGGGGGTGGTTTCCGGTGATGGATGCATGTCCGGGGGGTATAGGTTTCCGGATACGAGATAATACACCCCCCCTTTTTTTTTGTAACTCCATTGATCCTCCTATACTATACTCTAGCTTTACCATATGTTGTTATGCACAGGTGAGATGGTAATTTGCTCGACACCCTACTTGCCAGCCCCCTCCCCCCCCCCCCCAATCTATAGTCTAACTCTGTACAACTATGCAGGGAGAACCAACTTAACCTGGATAACACTGATTTAT